CCGCTGGCTCTCAGCAGCCGCTGACAGGATTAGGGAGAATAGGGAGTCGTTATTGCGGTGCTCTCGAGGCCTTCAGAGGTCACATGAGAATGCCAACGAACGTAAAAACGGTCAGACATTCCAGACATAGTGAAGTCAGCTGGCGGCCGAACCGAGGGTTACCCTGTTTACATCAGCTGGAGCTGCTAAGATGATGACTTGATGAGTAATTATACCAAACTTCCCGCAGGGATTATAATCGGTTTGTCATATTTCGAGACAAAATGGCTCAAAGAAATCATTCTACTTCAACAAGATGCCCAATGCCCATGGTTTATGTTTGATAAAATTGTGCTCAAGTCGCAGGTTTGCACTGAATCGTGCTCAGAGCGCCTCGTGATAAATAAGTGACAACAAGTGCCATTGAGAAACTAGTTTTGTCGCAATGACCCAGACATGTACCCTTTCAAAATCCTATCGTTTCCGAACTCATCGAGCGCTAAATCTGTCTTCTGAGCTACGCGATCAATAGCTCCCAAACCCTCTCAATCAATAACGAAGCCAATGAAGCACATTCCTTGCCGCGGACTCTGTCAGTTTCCACTCTAGCTTTAGCAGGCACTAACCAAAGTCAGACTTGGTTCGCCCGATACCAGTATCACGATTGGATCGCGAACGTTCTCCATTCAGTCCTAATGACACGATGGCGTGTTGGAAAATCGATGAACCGAGGTCACGAGAGCCGTAAATTATCGAGGTCGGGTGTCGGAACGTCACAACTGAGCCAGAATAAGTCCAAACTGTGTGCATAAATAAGACAGGTGGGATGTAATTTGGGAGAAAACGATACTAAAATAAACCATGTTTCAAGGAATAGCCTTACCCGCTGACAGCATGTTAGTATAGGGGAGAACGGGGCGATTTGGCCGCCTTTTTGTAAAAACGATATTTTGAGAAAACCAGTGCGCGTTTGGTCGATTTTTCCATGGAGGGGTGTGGGGCGTTCAATTGTTGTTCTGGCTTATTACTTGCATCATGCCGGGACATCTCGTTTCGGTGGTAATTAACCGTTCTTTCAAATACTGCACGGCGGCCAAATGACCCCGGTACCGGGGTCATTTGGCCGGGGGAGTGGGGTCATTTGGCCGGGCATGTGATTCAGAGATATACCTATTATAGAGCTGAGACAACCTGAAATATTGACGCCCAAGATTGTGCTTAACTCATGAATTCTGGATTGACTCGACGCATGACTGATGTGACGATTCAGATGCCCCAATGCTGACACAAATGATGAGCATCGTGACTCATCGTTGATTCGCCTGAAATCCTTAATTTTTTAAAGGACTAGGCTTACGCTCGATTCATTTGAATCAGTGCAAGTGAGGAGCCACATTTGATTTACGAGCTTACGACTCATGAGTTGAGCACTGCCCAGTGATAACAACAGCCAACTGTAATGGCTGCCAAATCGTAGATTGCTTTAGACAATCGCACTGCAAAAATTCCTTTGTGCACGAGTTGTTTGTTCGTAAACACGAAATAAAAACGATTCCAGCAGGCCCCGTCTTCGACCCAGCACTTCAGATCACATCCAATGTAAAATACGGTCCCGACGACATGGACACATGTCCAGTCATCACTGCGCTTCACTGTTTTTCACCTTTGCGCCCCTGTTTCTTCGACGGTCCAGCTCCCGACGTTCGATGGTTCGACGGTCCAGCTTGTGGACCCCGCTGTTTGCTCCTCGCCATACGTGCCTGTTGCTCGTCATCCAAAGCCGTCCGCTCCGGGCTGTTAGTCATGATTTTAGAACGCCCTTTCTTCCAACCGGCTTTTCGAACGTTGATGCGCAGCTGCGGAAGTGGTCGGATGGACTCCATGGGCTTCCGACTGGAGCACAGCCGCGGCACTCGGCAGGCGGCTGGAGCACGGCAGCGGCAGGCAGCTGGAGCACGGCCGGCCCCGGGGCTGGCGGCTGGAGCACAGCCGCGGCAGGCGGCTGGAGCACGGCCGGGGCCGCGGCGTGCTGATCTGCCGTCGCTGGGGCGACAACTGGTGCGAAGACCGCCGTCGGCACAGTCTTCGTCGTTGAAGATATCCTGGTATAGCAGGGATATCCCGGCCGCTTCGAATCTCTTAAAACCCTCGCCCGCACATGCCATTTTCCCATCCTAGAACGCACATGGGGGGGGGGGGGTGGTTGCCACCCCCCCCCGCGCCATTTCGTTCCTGTTGGAGATAGAGCTTAGCGGTAAAGACCAAAAAGATTCTTTGGGAAGAGACGAATCCAATGATACCCAGTTTTACCTTCTCAGGTCAGTCATTGACCTTCCAGGTCAGGTCAAACTAAAAAATGTTGCTATTTTGGGTCACCGTTGGTTATCAAGTGCGCTGCTTACCATATACCGATGACGATGCTGTTTTCTGGTGCCAGGCCAGCTAGAACCTCTTTGTCACACTACCCGACCAGATTTTTGCGGCTGAGGTCATGTCAGGTCAAGTTAGGTCAAGGTCAATTATATGTGTTTGTATGTCTGTGTGTGTCTGTGTGTATACTGATGTGTGCACCGATTGTTTTTGTGTCCATATTACATGAAATCATGATCTGAGAAGCTTTTACCAAAAATGCAGTCAAAAAACTTCACAAAAAGTAATTTCCGCTTACCTAAAACGCAATTATCTTAGATGACCTAGGTTGACCTTGACCTTGACCTTGACATCTGTACATCGTCGAACAACATGTTCCATGATAGTTGGGAGGTAAGACTGGCAAAAAAAGCCGAAATCAAGGTGTCAAAAGCTCACAAGGCCCATAGCCAGCGCAGGATGTTGAGAATTGGCCATTTGGGTCATGACATGACCTGAAAAACAAGGTCATATCTCCGAAACCAAAAATCACAGAAACTTGAAATTTTCAGTGGACATCAAGAAAGGATAGAGGAGCAGCTATACGAAAAATCAGCCTTCTAGCTCTAAAAATGTTGAGTGCAGAGCAGAAAGACTACCTGGGGGGGGGGGTGGCAACCACCCCCCCCCCCCCCATGTGCGGGCGAGGGTTAACCCGCGGATGTTCTTCCGCTTGAAGGTGGCGTCTTAGGCACGACGAAAAATCGCCGCCACCGGTAGAGGTCGATGTGACATCACGGGTTCGCCATCTGCCGCCGGGTGCCGAAAGCCAATCAGCGGACACCTTGGTTAGGTCGTCCCTTGCATTTAGACTGCGCCGCATTACCACCCTCAGTGGCAGAACTTAGCCAGCGCAGCGCGTCGCTCGAAGACTAGGCAAAAAATCAACTGAGTCGCTGGGCGGCCAATTCGCCCCGTATGGGGCGGCCAATTTACCCCAATATGACATTTTTAGGAAAAGGGGTCCACAGACAAGCAAAAATTGTTACTTAAAGGTAGTGTGCCAGCTTTCCTGGACCGTATGGAGTTAATGGCCCAGATAAGGAGAACCGGATTTTTAGAACTTATCCATACCTTCAAAACTCATGGAAACGTCTAAAATTCTTCAAATTTTGAGTACCCCAGTGCGAAATTCGCCCCGACGGGTTGTCGGTCGTACCCCAACCACATTTCACACCACTATGAACAATAAATGCACACACTGAAATCGCTATCACCGATAGGTTCATCCAATCAAGTTTCGATAAACTCGTTCATCATCATCTCCTGCGGTTTCGAACACGCCTGTTAGGTGGTGCGGTAGACCGCGCCCAAAGCCAGGGCCCCGGTAACGTGAGGTAGCCGAGTCTGGGCAGCGTGCGCTGACCCAAGCCGGGGCCGCGCGTCCTCCCGGTGTCATGTGATAGCCCGGGGCTGCCCGCGGGGATGCGGTAGACCGCGCCCAAAGCCGCGACCCCGGCTTGGGTCAGCGCACGCTGCCCCGACTCGGCTATCTCACGTTACCGGGGCCCTGGCTTTGGGCGCGGCTTCTGCTCATACTTTGTGGTGCGGTGGTGGTGCGTCGGGCCGCACGCTCTGACTTCGGCCAAGAAAAATGCGTCAGCTGATCATTGTCATTTCTGCCACTTTCATGTGGTGAGATGGGGTCATAACTTGAGAGACGGCTGTTTCATATCAATTATTTTATATAAAATAATATTTCAAACCATAAATTAATGTTTGACAGCCAAATTAAAGAAACAATACCAATACAGGCTTACAGTTTAAATTCGACATTGTGTTGTCTACGATTAGACAGCTGATAACTCATTCCCGTACGTCGTAACTCGTAACTCTATAATGACCTTTGCTTATTGTCACATGTGCGCCGCATTCGGGATTGTTGCCGACCGGCCTGTTTGCAGGTCAGCCCACTACAGTTGTTATACATATCGAAAAACCGATAAACTTTTAGGCGAAAAAAGCACTATTTTAGGCCCATTTTTGATTTTTTTGCGATATTATGTAAAAACAGAAGCTTCTTATCCTAGGAAAAATAAAATGGGAAATCATTCGAAGGTGGCACACTACCTTTAAACTTGCAAAAGGGTCAGACAGCTCCCTGAATCACCAGATTGTTCTACCAATAAAGTTAAAATTTTGATGTCACCCAAATAAGGGACACTATGCAACTTTTCGTAAAGAAGAAAAAGTTACGTTTTTTAGCCAAAATTCAAATATCGTTGGCTTTACAAAAAACTGGGCGTCGTCGAGTTTCCTTAGTTTCTTTCCAAAGTAGTTCTTATGACGGCGGATGGCGCCATATTCAAAAATAATCGCTCGGGACCGTCAAAACGCGTAGACATGGGGCGGCCAAAGTGACACGGGCGGCCAAATGACCCCGCTCTCCCCTAATCGCGTGTTTACCCTTTCCAACATACGTGAAAGACCGCGTATAACAGACTTTCTCGTTATTGAAGCAATGTCTGAGTCTGGTCATGTTATGATAAACATCTGACATTCTCTCGCTCGACTCGCGTCTTATGATTTACATCCTCGTACCGAGCCATCCCTGGAACTGGACGCAGTCCCTGCCGCGCCGACCGTCCGAGCCAGTCTGCAAAAACGGTTCCTTTTCTCTCTCCCAGTCTCACATATTTCTCTCTCCCACTCTCACATATTTTACAGTCACTGCCGACCGCTGTACAGAACGGTATGCACAGACCCCGGGGCTCACCACCGACAAAAACCGAGCACCAAGCTGAGCTACGATACCGGCCGATCAAGCATCGCCCTCCAGTCGCGGCCCCTGACCGTGCTGAGGTCACCCGAGGTCACCGGGGGTCACTGGAGGTCAGCGGGGGTAAAGGCTCGCCGCTCAATACTTGGTGGTGTCTCGGTACTTGCCGCCATCGCCCAGTTTGAAGAGCACGGAGTCACCCATGGACGGGTTAAAACCGAACCGGTACTTCTGTCCGGGCGCCGTCTGCAAAACACGAGGAACATGCGTTACGATAGGATGGACGGATCTACAGTTAGGTTGATACCAAGTGCAGATCATAAAAAATATACTGCGAAGTGCGATCGCTGAGCAGAAAGGGCCAGGGAATAGTGAAGCGCAAATAAAGTGACCTCTTATCACTTATGGCCAATCTGGCCACTAACTCACATGGCATTAATATTCACCCCGCATAGGTACACATCCTATCACAGAGATCATTGCCACCGGATACGTTCCGGAAATGGATGGGCAGAGCATACGACACGGACAATACCCAGAACACTGACGAATCACAGCATTGCTGCATCTCATGTTCGTCGTGCATATCAACAGTAAACACAAACCTGTTCCAATGCACTACCGAGAAGAGCAGGCTACGCATCCATTACATACAACTCTTCTCTATCCGCCCAAAAGCTGTCCATTTCGCTTACACTACACCTGCACGAGCACGTCACAAAACCGTTTACATTGTACAATCGACACATATGGCTATACTCAGTGCTAAATCGGCGGAAAATGAAAACCCCACGAAAACTTCTTAAACCCATACCGGGCTTATCAACCATCAAACAAGCATCTCGGAATAGCAACGCTTAGTCTGAAGCGACCACAAACGGTGTTTTAACCGCACGGGCCCGAGCTCCTTCCGTATGCGGCGCGAGCAGCGATGACCGAACACCCATGTCCACTGATAGGGATCGGGTATTCAGCAGCGGAGACCCACCCAGCACGGGGACTCTGACAGCAGGCAGGTGCTACTGAGGTGCAGCTCGACAGGGTCAGTGGTGAGCCCAGGGAACGGCGTCACCAGCCGGAGATTATGCAAAGTGATGGCACGCGTCACCCGTGACGGCGTGACCCTCGACCCGCGGTGGGAACTGGGAGGGTTGGTGGTTCTCAGTCTGCCTCTCGGAAGGGCGACACCACTGGCCGGGCAGTAAGTTCACGGGACTTATCAATTTCCAGTCGTAATGCGACGAAATAGCGAGAACAGATGGACTGACTACAGGCTAGATGAATATTTTCCGCATTAGACTGGAGCGCAGCTGGCTGTTCGATCACTGTGCCTGCTTCAGAATCAGGGCTATTGTCCGCACATTTTCAGCGTAATTTCCCAAATAAGCTGTCACCCCAACGAAAACACTACTTGAGCTGTTATTGAATCACCGACGGAAGCTTGTGAGGTAGACCTAAAGCTCTGAAACAATAACCAGGAAACAACACAAATTCCTTTACCTGTAAAACTATTGCACCACTTGTCAGTAGTAGAATGCATTAACAGAAAAGAACCCGGTAGTCGTAGCCTGGAAAGCAGGAAGCTCGAGCCGAAAACTAAAACACCGCTCTGTTGCGCAGCAGCTGGCGCAGACCTGCCGCTTACCTCGTGGTAGAGCTCGTAGAAGACCTTCATGTCCTCCTGTTCGGCCATCAGCTCAGGTACGTCGAACCGGGGCACCAGCATGTTATGCATCAGGTGATCCTTGTAGTTGGTGTACCTGCAGATGGTGGAAATAGTTTAACGACGCGGCCAAAGATACATACGTCAACCACTAACCAGTAACACAGCCCATAATAATGTCAATGCCTTAACAAGTAACGGGCTCCCTCGCTCAGCTTATCAATTTTCTTCTTGAACCTTGTTTCCGTTGGACGGACCGTCAACGTTTCATCATTAATTTTGCTTCTTGTGTTCCAGTGAGGTTACATGGTTATTTGATCAAATCATACCTAAACAAGCGTAAAAGGTAGCTTCTAATGAAACCTCATCTAAGTAATCTCCTTGCGATCCCTCTCCTGCACTCACTGTGTGCGGCAGGCGTCCCACTCGTCGTCCGATTTGCGGTTCCAGTCGGACATCTTGTCCGTCTGGAAGCCGTACTGCTCAAAGTTGAGCTTCTCAATGTCATCCACCATGTGTTCGACGATAGTCTCCTGGCTGACGTCGTAGGTCAGCACCTCAGAGTGTTCACTGATGCTCTTGAGCCAGCTTTCCTTGTAGGTGGCCTCTAGTGACTGGAGGAACTGATCGGTCAGCGCTGGAGAGCCCACCTCGTTCGGTCGCGCCCGCGCCTGGAACGGGGAGCAAAGCGTCAGAGAAGGATGTGGAACAGGGCAAGAGGGGTCAGAGAGTAAGGTAAGAGAATGTAAGGTAAGAGTAAGGTATGTAAGGTAAGAGAAGGCGTCAGAGACGGACGTGGAATGAGCAAGAAACATCAGCTGAACGTGAAAGTCGGCAGCATTACGGACAAGCAGCGCCACCTGTGTTGAGTATTTTGAGACTTTTTATGGACGATCCCAGACAACTGGAACTTATCACAAGGACTTCTCCAAAACCTTTTCTCGTAACTGTGACTGTCCAAAATACCCACAAACATGACCTCTTTCTCTATAGTATAGTGACTTACAGCATTCAAGTATACTCTCATACTTCTCGACGACTCATGCCCGCTTTAGCCGATCCCAAACCGCCCCCTTGCCCACCTTGATCCTCTTCTGGACCTCGGCGACCGGGATGTCCAGGTAGACGACCAGATGCGGCCTCTGGAGGAACGGCATACACTGCTGGGCGATCTCCCGGTACACGCTCCGTACTGGAGGGCACAGAGAGAATACAGGCGTGAACGGGGGTTGGGCGAGTGAGGTCAGAGCCACGGAGTACAGGGGAAAAAGCGATCGGGAAATACGGCCGGTGCCAGCTCAATATCCAGTTAATAAGTTGATGGTCAAAAGGAACACACGAATCAACGGGTTGAGCTGGATAAATGCAACAGCGAAGGAGGCGTCCGGTATCTGTTTAAAGCAAAAAATAACATTTAAGAGTTTGCAAAACAGTTTGGCAGCATATCTGACATAAGTCTCACCTCCCCTGCTGACGAAGCCAGCGTTACACATGGCCTCCATGTAGACAAAGTCGCTGAGCACGCACTTGTTCATCACTACGCCCTGGCCTGGAAACACAGACACACATACACATTTTGTCATATGATCCTAACATACTATTTATTACGCAGGTCACATCGGTCACAGTGCATAAATCTGGCTTAGTATGATAGTCAGGGATGGCAATGACCTGCAGTCACAGACAGGCGACAGTGGTACTCTCGTTATAGATCCGGTAAAGTCGTTAAAGTACGAGCTGATTTTGGCTTTTCAGACACGTTTACTACGAGACGTTTGACATCTTCTGTGATATGCAATCATATTGCATATCAAAATGTTCCGGAGGCAACAATATATCGACGTGGAATAACTTCCGACGAATGGAAAACCTAATCGAGTTAGAAAGGCAAAAAAGATTGATGACAGGCGTGCTTATACAAATCAGACCCTGGTTACGTCCCCAATTTTCCGTCCACGAATTCGCCACTCACCGGTATTCATTAGATGGGCCAACGCGTCAATATACTGCGACAATTTGAACTCGAACCAGTTAATCTGGAACGAGCCCATACGGCTATCGTACGGGTTCTTGAGGAAGTCGTCGATCTGCAGCAGCTTCAACTTGTGCGGCAGCTTGTCGTTCAGCTGCCGCAGGTCGTAGCCGTAGTCGTTGATGTAGACGAGGTCTCCGGACGCCGCCGGCATGTACTGCATCTCGAACTCCTCCGCCAGCGCGCGCGCCACCACCTCCTTGCCGGCCGCCGGGGGGCCTTCTACCACGATCAGCCGGGTGTTCTCGTCCCAGCGGCTGCGCGTCGTGTCGAAGAACGACTTGAGTCCGCGGTACGGTCGCTCCTTGTACGGCCACGGCTCCTTGATCCAGCTCTTGGGCCCGCCGCGCATCGTCTTACCGGAGATGAGGGCGGCCTGGACGGCGGGCAGGCCGGCAGCGGCGGACGACAGCGGCAGCGGCTGCACGCGACAGCAGCGCGCCACGGCCGCCAGGCAGTGCAACGCCATGGCACCCAGCGACCGGTCACAGTCCGAGGGGAGAGACGAGACTGGTCCTCTGATGGGGAGAGAAAAACAGTTGTAACAGGAGCATGAGTTGAGACTGGTTGTCACCTGATGGTGAGAGAAAACAGAGAAAACAGAAAACCCAGCAGGAGAGAGAGAGAGAGAGAGAGAGAGAGAGAGAGAGAGAGAGAGAGAGAAGAGAGAGAGAGAGAGAGAGAGAGAGAGAGAGAGAGAGAGAGAGAGAGAGAGAGAGAGAGAGAGAGAGAGAGAGAGAGAGAGAGAGAGAGAGAGAGAGAGAGAGAGAGAGAGAGAGAGAGAGAGAGAGAGAGAGAGAGAGAGAGAGAGAGAGAGAGAGAGAGAGAGAGAGAGAGAGAGAGAGGAGAGAGAGAGAGAGAGAGAGAGAGAGAGAGAGAGAGAGAGAGAGAGAGAGAGAGAGAGAGAGAGAGAGAGAGAGAGAGAGAGAGAGAGAGAGAGAGAGAGAGAGAGAGAGAGAGAGAGAGAGAGAGAGAGAGAGAGAGAGAGAGAGAGAGAGAGAGAGAGAGAGAGAGAGAGAGAGAGAGAGAGAGAGAGAGAGAGAGAGAGAGAGAGAGAGAGAGAGAGAGAGAGAGAGAGAGAGAGAGAGAGAGAGAGAGAGAGAGAGAGAGAGAGAGAGAGAGAGAGAGAGAGAGAGAGAGAGAGAGAGAGAGAGAGAGAGAGAGAGAGAGAGAGAGAGAGAGAGAGAGAGAGAGAGGAGAGAGAGAGAGAGAGAGAGAGAGAGAGAGAGAGAGAGAGAGAGAGAGAGAGAGAGAGAGAGAGAGAGAGAGAGAGAGAGAGAGAGAGAGAGAGAGAGAGAGAGAGAGAGAGAGAGAGAGAGAGAGAGAGAGAGAGAGAGAGAGAGAGAGAGAGAGAGAGAGAGAGAGAGAGAGAGAGAGAGAGAGAGAGAGAGGAGAGAGAGAGAGAGAGAGAGAGAGAGAGAGAGAGAGAGAGAGAGAGAGAGAGAGAGAGAGAGAGAGAGAGAGAGAGAGAGAGAGAGAGAGAGAGAGAGAGAGAGAGAGAGAGAGAGAGAGAGAGAGAGAGAGAGAGAGAGAGAGAGAGAGAGAGAGAGAGAGAGAGAGAGACTTATATTGAATCATTATTATAAAAATTTGGACTATGAATAGATACATCAATAAGTGAATGAATGAATAAGAATGAATGAATGAATGAATGAATGAATGAATGAATGAAGGAATGCAATGATTGAATGCAATGAATTATAGGAAGATGAATTTTCAAGTCAAAGTAATTTAATTTAGAATTAATGAATGCATGAAGCAGGGCCTCCTCTAAGGATTTTTCACTGGGTGGGCAGAATTTTCGCTACTCCCTTGCCCAAGGGCGAATCCAGCCACTGTTTTGGGGTTCAACAATTTCAAAACCTGTTACCGGGGGGGGGGGGGGGCGAGGGTGAGGCGAAATAAGCAGTGCCGTTATTGGAAATAAGATGAAAGTTTGCAAAGTTAACGTTTGTCGTATGTTTTATGGTTAGCGATGCTCGAGCGATTCGTTCCAAAGTTACATGTACAGCCCTCCGCAAACTGCGTGGTAGGTATTCTTATTTAGTATTCTTGCTATTTTGACAATGTACCAGTTTTTGTGACCTTGTGACCTGGCCTCGGGTCACTGGAACCTAAAACTCCAAGGCCAAGTGACAAACAGATGCTCCAAGTCGTGTCTTAACCCTATTCCTGGCGGGGGGGGGGGCCTCAGGAGCCCCCCCCCCCTGAGGTTTTTTGGTTATTTCTCCCAAACGCTTTGAGCTAGGAAGCTCAAATTTTCTGACTTTTACTAAAAGGCTTTTACGCAACATTTCTGAAAATTTTGAGTTGATCTGACCTCAGGTCAGGTCACCAGAGGCGGTTTGGTGACCCTACCTCAGAAAAGTTTGCAATCACGCCAGAGCTAGAGTTTTTGACCGATCAATTTCTTCTCTTCAGGCTTTAGTAAGGGTACCAGTATGTGCAATTTGTATATCTCAGAATTTTCATATCTGTGACCTGAGGTCAGGCCAGACTCGTGACCTTTACATTGCAAGCCTATGGGAAAATATTGAAACGCCTCCTGCTTCGTGTAAACGAGTCAAAACCACCCAATTCTTTCAGTATTATGGAAGATTATCTCATCGGTGATGATCCTGGTGCCGCTAATTGACAGGGGCACCGGCAAAGGTCATCTGAGGTCATGTGACGTCATAAATCGTTTTTCTGTAAATAAATCATGACATGATGGTGCTAAAGACTTGTAAGTGGTACCAAACTGCTCGCCTGGTCAAGGCGCGTCGTTTGGTATGCAGCATGACCATACCCCACAACCTCATTGATGAATGACCTGACCTTGACCTCAGGTCAAATTTCAAATTGACCTGTGAAGGTCGTCACATACTTATATTTCGCATGGCCTCGGCGAGAGCAACAAAAAATGTATTGGTTTTATGTCTCTATGTTTCTTAGTTTAAAAGTTATATAGGTAACTAATTCCAAAACATTTTATCGTTGATGACCTCTGGTGACCTCAATATTGACCTGACCTGAAAATGTTTTTTGTAAAAGTTGTAGATCTTTAAACGACCTATCAAACGCCGTTCGCCGTTTGTCGCTGCGATGTGTAGTTTTTGAGATCTGAAGGGGGGGCCGAATCGGCCCCCCCCCCCCCCGCCAGTTCCTTGTCCCGGCGGAGCCCGCCAGGAATAGGGTTAAATTTGGTAGCGCTACGTGCTATAGAACTCACGCTATCAACGAAAAACTCTGGCACTCGGTTGCCGCTAAGCTAGTCCAATTTTCCCCTGACCTTGTACGGGGTTTGTGACCTGGTGACCTGACCTGATAAGACTAGAGATCTGAAATTTTCAGGACAAGTGCCAAAAGGTTGCCCCAGAGGGTATGCCAAATTTGAGCGCCGCCGTTTTTACGTTATTTGTGAAAAACCTTGTCCTTAGGGGGTGCATCAATCCCCTCACCGGGCGAGGGCTAACTAACATAATACATTGTAGTAAAGGCTACCCGAACCGGTAATGATTCTTGCTTATTTGTTTAGCTCAGCCGTATTTAGAGATTTAGCTGGCTTTGTCCATGAATTACAATATCGGCAGGGGCGTAGCCAAGGGAAAGGGGCCACGGGGGCAATGGCCCCCTCTTTTGAGCGCAAAACGCGCCATGGGGAGCCCCTCAGGCCCCGGGATATTTTTTTCAAACACTGGATAAAACGTCTTTTACTCGGAAGAAAATTGATATCGAAGTTTCATTTCTGTGGCCCTCTGATGACCCAATGGGCACCTGCACTCATCCGATGACCCCCGGTTTCCTGGGGCCCTGGTCGCTTGGGGGCTAGTCGCATGGGGGCCTGGTCGCCTGGCCCCTGCCCCCTGGTCGCCTGGAAGAACGCTTGTCACCTGCAGTGGCATAGCCAAGGAGGGGGCCAAAGGGACCATGCCCCCCCCCCCTGGAAGCCAGGGGTCCTTATTCTATAGGGGCCCCTGGCTGACACAGTGGGCCCTTGGCGACGCAAAAGCCCCTGCGGCAGATCCTTTGACACAGCTGAGTAGTTATACTTTGGCCAAGAGAGCCCCAATTTTAGAGCTTTGGGGCCCTATTGAAACCAGGGGGTCAGTTGGATGGGATGGGTCCAACTTGGGTCCAACGGTGTGTAAACAGAATCAATGCGTTCAGACTGTTGGTCTGACCCTATATCGGTTTGAGGGAGCTCGGATCGGATCCACTGTCGTTCTGAGGGGCCCCTATCGGTTTGAGGAAGCCCTTAAATGCCCTGAACGGGTCCTTAGTTTGTCTGAGAGAGCCCTCCGTCGGCATCACTGGGCCTCTGCAAGTGCAAGGAGGGCTTTTGTCGGTCTTAGTGGCCCTTGGCGGCTTATATGACCCTCAGACGGCTTACGAGGCTCTCATGCGCTGTTGGGGCCTGTGACGGTCTGAAGAACCCTCATCCGACTTACGGGCCCTCAGACCGCCCTCAAAACCGACTGGCGACTCTATGAAGCTATTCGTGGGCCTATCTAACTGGGCCCATGGACTGCTTACCCCCTCAGTTCTAATATGTTTTGTTAATAAATATTGTTCTATTTATTTGGACCCCCTAAAAAAAATATTGGATCCAACCAGATGGCTTTTTGGATTTTGAGGGGGTTATTTTGGGCCCCTGTGCGTTTGACCTCCTCCTTGAGGAAATTCTGACTACGCCCCTGAATATCGGGCAACCAGAAAACTTTTTTTTGACCTTCAAACAGCATCCAGTTTGCTTAAGACCAGAAAGGTAGTACCGGACGTCCGGCCGGACCAGAATTTTTGCATTTGCTTCTGGGTGGGCAAATCGACGCCACTGGGTGGGCAATTGTGGTGACTGGGTGGGCATTTGCCCACCCAGTGGGTATGTTAGAGGAGGCCCTGGCATGAAGTGATTGAATAAAAGCAAAATACATCAGTACATCAACATCAATGAAGAATATCGCTTATTATAATTTGGTTCATGAAAAAAAAACAATTCTAATGAATTCCCCCTCAATGTTTTGGAGAAGGTAAAGAAGATAAAGCCAGGGCCAGCATTTCAGTTGGGCAAACTAGACCTTTGGAATCAAAATATGGAGGCATCAAAAGATTGATTCCTTTTGGGCATAAATGCAGACCATTTCTAACTTACCAATCACATAAAAATAAGAGAGTGTTTCAAGAAGGAGCATGCCTGATCTTGAACAGAAATGCTTGAACTATCTCCTAAGCAAAATAATATTGCTCCTATCATAACAATTTGAATTCTATAGGTAGTGAAAGGCAATCAAGGAATTGATTCACTTTAAACAGATAATCATAATATTGATTCCCCATCAGCTGGCTAATCATTATTTTGATTCACAGGTAATGTTAACAGATAGGCAACAATGACTTGCAAGAATACAGCACTTATCTTGCTATTATTCTCATTTAGTGGTATCCTCAGCACCACAACTGATACCTATAGCATTGTCGTACTTGACCTTCACTACATTTGATAACAATTCACAATTTTTAAATGTCAAGAATACAAAAACTGAAGCAACAGGTAAAAACCATATAAATAATATAAAAACACTACAACAATGATAATTAGGGGTTTAAAAATTTTATTTTGTCATTTTACACAAATACTGATTGGTTAGTATGTGATTCATGATACAAAAATAACATACAGTGTGATTTCCTCAAAACAGCTTTTACGTGATGGACAGTGGCTCTGTCTTTTTCCCATTCACAAGGCCAAAGGGACAATTTCTTAGCTTTGAGGTAACACTTTTTGCAAACCTACCACATTTTTCTACCTTTTAAAAGAAAAATCTCACCGTCATGGGCCTTTTTTCAACCGTAACGATTCATTTGAAGTCAAAAGCGTACCCAAATGAATCAAAAAATTGATTCCATGCCCATATTTGGTCATGGCTCCTCCCACCAAAATCAAATTATTGATGCCTCCATATTTTGATTCCAAAATTCTAGTTTGCCCAACTGATTTGTAAACAAACTCTTACAACTTTCAACACATACAACTTTCCAATCAGAACCAAAAGTGAAAGCATGAGGCACGACACGCACCAAATAACAACGAAAACACTCCAAATCGCACCTAAAGTCTCTCACACTTGCCTTCAAAAGACTTCAAGGCCCGGGTATTAGAGGGGGTCAATAGACGCAGGGGGGTACGCTCCGGATGTAACGGAAGTTAGGCTGTTTAGCATTATGAAAAATGGTGACAGACGTTTGTGGAGGATTGTCGACGAACTCTTGTTCCGTGAGCAGTACTTACACGCTAGCGGAAAATTCACCAATCAGCGCTCGGCGGTACTCGACGCTGATTGGTCCGACGCTCGTGACGAAATTGCGGGGGACCGCAGTTATTCTCTATGGACCCGAATAGGCTTTTGGATTTCGGAGGGGTTTCTTTAAAATTATATGCTGTTTCGAGCTGTTTTCGAGTTGAAATATATTTCTTATGACTGTTACCTATATAATGGCACCATAAAATCATGATTTTGATAAATATTACCGATGAAATATCGGCCGAAAAGACATGCTGTCATGGTACGGACTGCCCTGCGGCTGATGTGGGGTCCCTAATGCCAGCGTATGGTAATAATGGGGTGACGAAGGGTTATTGGAGACTCTTAGAGCCCCATCAGCATTCAGCATAGGGTCATCAGAGGCCGGGAACGTCCATCAGGGGTCTGAGTAGGCCTGTCATAGGGGCATATATGACACATCATGGCCCATGGGTCAATGTAGATCCATGGGGCCGTTGAAGGGCCATCATTGTTCAGCGTGGGCTCGCAATTACCTCTGATGGGCATATGCCGTGCCCCGATGGACTAACGCTGGCCCCTGATGAACCATCACCAGCCCCTGATAGGTCTACAAAGCCCACTGCTGGGTCTAAATTGGTCACTGATATGCCCAATTGGGCCACTGAGAAACCCGTACAACATCCCCTGACTGCACCTGCTGGACCAGTGCCGTCCTCTCATGGGCCCACCACAGCTCTTGAATGACCTTTTCAAGTCCCTTGAAGTGCCTTTATTGGCCTAAATGGCCCCTGATTGGCTTATGTGGTCCCTATTGGTCCTATATGGCCCCCCATGAGCCCTCAACGTCCCTAGACGGCCTTACATTATATGTCACTGGGCCCTGTTGGGTCAGCACCGGCCCCTGATAGGCTTGCACTGGACCCACCGGGCCTATACCGACCCATGAAGGGCCTATGTCGAGCCCTCATGGGCTTCCGATGACCACACGCCGGCATGTGTGGCCCCATCAGCAGTGGTCCGTCTATCCCATGTACTTACGGTCTTTTTGGTCGATGTGACACCGGTAGTATATAGAAATGTTATGATTAAATGTCGTTATTACACAGTCAAAAGTCACAGAAAGAATATCCAAGCTCAAAAATGGCCTCAAACCCAACAAAAACTGGTATAAATCCCCTTCAAAAGCCGTAAGTCTATTAAACGCCATAGGGGAATAGCTGCAGTCCCCCGCAATTTCGTCACGAGCATCGGGCCAATCAGCGTTGAGTATTGCCGAACGCCGATTGGTCGATTTCCGCTAGCCTGTAAATGCTGCTTGCGGATATAGTTTTGAACAAAAGAGGGTCGCGGCTACTAATTATCGCTTGTCACCACTTTTTCGTCGGGAGCGTTCTACCTGGTTTATATAGCCTTGAATAGACGTAATCGAAATCTCGCCATTAGTACATGGAGTGCATTGACCTAAAAAAGACGAGGTCAATGATGGAGTGTCCCTTTGAAGAAGAAGAAGAAAATATAAATTTTTCTTTTAGGTCACCGTTTATTCATATTAGTAACATATATAGCACTGGATTGGTTAAAACCGCTTGTAAATATCATTTCTGGAAAAGTTTGATAAGTCATTATCTGACTAATTCAAATTCATTCGGATCATTTTTGGATAATATCAGCTGACTCTGTAATCAGCTGAAAATGTTTCAGGAAACCCTGTCGAGTTCTCTTTACGCTGATTGGATAATGGCAAAAGGGTCATATCCTGCGCAGCTGCTTCATAAATGACGCTCAAAATTTTCATCGGTCTCTGCGCCATTTTTTGCCGCCGTCCCGTGATCTCTTTTTCGACCGCTCGCTGCGGAGTTTGCGAGCTTTTTTTAGACCAATTTTATAGGTATGTATGCTTTATTTTTTTTATGTTCCTGCTTGATCATCAATTCTGTCAAATGATAGTTTCGGTCAATGCTTTATGATTTTTACCTTCTCTTGGTTTATCTATGAATTATGATAGAATAATGCCGATTCTGCTTTACAGAAGTATATCAATATTTCTCTTTATATAACATGTTTAAAAGATATGTTTTTATTCAGTTAACCTAGTATTTCAATTTTGCGTAGAAATGAGGCATGTACCTATCTTTTGTTGAAAAGGGTTGGGTATCAATCAGTAAAGCTGGCGGCACCGTCACCGCCAACCGGTAAATGTGTAGATGAAGTTAGAGATAATCTATCCTGACCTAACCTTACCTACTAACCTACAACCTACCAGCCGACACACCTAAAACCTACCAACCTACAACCTAACCTACCTACCTACTGCCAACGGTGACACCAGCTTTACTGATGCCAAGAGTTGTAGTCTGAGTGCGCAGTGACCGGGCTCTTGTATCCTGGGCACTGTTCGGTCACAGTATTTTATCAGCAGGCTGTGAGCATGCTGCTGTTTCTTGGCTCCTCATTGGTCGAATTCATGTGGTGTATTCATTCGACCAATGAGAGGCCAAGAAGTGCCAGCAATAACTTCCTATATGGGAAAACTGAAAGCATGCTGATATAAAAACAGTGACCGAACAGATATCTGAACCTTGTGAAACCCCAAAATGTTTGTCAAGTTCAGTAGCTCATGATTAAGGGAGCAGTCTACTTTTCAAGATGCTATTTTGGAATGATACGGCATCAAAGCTATCTTTTCTAGTTACAAGAAAGATTATAAGTCCCACCTGCTAATTCAAAGAATAATTGCTTGATTAGTGACTTGAAGTTCCTTCAAGCCTGCCTATGGAGATGCACATTGTGTGTGAGTAAATCATTTCAATCAGATTCTCATCTTTGTAGTGTGGAGGTAGGAAGTAAGGCCAAAATTGCCAGTACCTGCCAAAAATTTGTAATTATTGGCTACATGTTTTTTTTTTAGCTGAGTCAAGAATGTTGAATCAGTGCTAGAAAATGAATCATTTTGGCCACTGCTGATATGAGACGATTTTTGAAGGAAGTCAACCAAATGCAATGTTGTTCTCAGTTTCATGTATGGGTTCAGTTGGTAGTCTTCATAGGTGTCACCAAGGATGGAAAGTGTATAAACTAACTGTTACAATGTTTCAACTCACAGAAAAAAAAGAACTGCATGACCTCTATAACATGAAAAGTCATGTATGTTTTAGTTTTAAAACCTTATTTCAATTTTGCAGGACTTCAAAGCTCAACTACTTTTTGAAATTTGCAATATAATGTTACAAGAAGGAGATTACTAGCTGGATGATGATCATTGATCTTACTTAGAAGGCATAATATTAAGTGCATTATTAACACCCTCTTTGTAACAAAGCTTTGTTGTTTTGGTACATGGGCTGTTTTCCTTACCTTTTAGTTTATGGTTTCATAATTTACACCATTTTTGTGTGGACTTACATGCATGTCTGATAAGCCCTACTCTTGAAATTGCATCCTGTTTTCCATGACTTACTTAGGTACCTACAGTCCCACAGTTCTGCATCCAGAGTCCATTCATATTCTGTATATATCTGTATCTTTATTTCTCAGTCAACTATCACTTTCCAGTGCAAATCATGCATGATATGTAATCTGTCTTAAATTTTTACTTTTCTAGAAACATGACCTTATAATAATGTATAAACATGAGCACGCATCACTACACACACATTCAGCATTTACCATAAGCTCACAAATGGAACACTGCAATTACCTATCTCTTCATTCATAAATGAAGAGTTACCCATTGGGTCGCTTCAAATGATCCCCAATTCCAGTATACAGCTTGTGGAGCATTCATCACCAGACTGTCATCTTTGCCACTGCCAGAGGCAACAGCTGACCTTTGTCCTGGCCCAGTGTGCCCTATCGCCGGACCCGTCCAGCCGGCCTGCCGTGTGTGACCGCGGCGGGCCGGCCGGGGGCCGTGGTCAGAGCAGCCAGCTCCACAGGCTGGCACAGCTGGGACTGACGCGCCGGATCAGTCCGAACACCAGGCCGCCGCCGTACTCGCTGACGGCTCTGTACGCGATCAGGATGAGTGCCGCATTGGCCACGGCCAGGGCGGCCAGGATGTACAGACACGAGGTGATGAGACGGTGGTTCTGCTCCTGCAGACGTGCCGAACGCTCCACCAGTCGCTGGCGCGCGCACACCCGGTCCATCAAACACTCCAGCTGCCGGGGAAAATGGGCGGCGGATGGGTCACTAGGCACTCGGATGATAGCTCGAGAAAAACAATTTGATGTTAAAGTACAGGCAGCTGGCACTGCTGCCAACAGTTGGTTTTAGCCGTGAATGAAATTGATAGCAGAGCTGACGTCTCTGAAGATTAGTTACACAATACGCATCCAATTGTAATATTGGTCGCCATGTCGATAGCAAGGCTTATTGCAGCTGTGCTGTCTAATTTGAACCACATGGCGCCAAACCGCCGCAAATGGCTCTTGAGCGGAGTTGAAACGATCAATACTTTCGCCATGAACCGGCGCCACTGCCAGCGGCTATGTGCAGGGGGCGGGGCGGCGGATGGCGACAAACCTTGTCGGCCAGGCAGCGCAGTGGCAGGCCGGAGGAGGGGACGTCGGCGCAGGCGCGCGCCGGTGCCGGCTCGGCGTCCAGCACGCAGCGCAGACGGTGCTCGAACCGCTGCTCCTGCGGCACGCACTGTGAGCACATGATAGTCAGCAATCAGCTGATGCTTTGCGACGATCAAAGAGTGCACAAAATGCTGTGTTCAGGATCAATCAACTTATTTTATCGATAAGTAAAATCAGTCCTTCTTTATTTCTGGTTGAAGAATAGAGTTGCTGCTGGGTGGTTCGGACTATTTTACTGTCGCATCGTTTACGCTTGTCATCCTGCATTGAAGTAATTTCGAAATCGCATGGGAGAAGGCTTTGCTACTAGTCTCTTCAAACATTGATTCGTTATCGATTACTCAGCTGGCGCCGAAACCCCATCCGTTTCCCAAGTATCCGTCACAATCACGAACGAAGTCTCACCTTCCATAGCCGGCAGAGCTCCTTTTGACAGACATTCTCTCTCTGAACGGGTGTAGCGACCACGAGGAACTTGTCGCATAGCACGTGACGCGGTGAGACGCCCTCGCAGAGTGCCACCTCGACCGTTATCGAGCAGCCGCAGGCAATCACTCCGCAGCTGGGACGCACGCGAAACTTCTCCGGCGATGTTGTCTTGATCTGTGTGCAGGAGGAGTGAGGAGAGGAGGATTGACGGGAGGGAGGAGGGCGCTGTTGTCGGCAGTGGTGTGTGAGCATTGAGCACGCATTGCGCAATACTCTCAGACGCCAAATAGCGGCTGAGGATCGAGGATTTGGGATCGATAGATACGACGCTGCGATAGGTCGAATTATTAGATGAGTGGAGCTCGAGTCTCGAGCACATAAGGCATGGTGTTAAAACAACCAAAATATACAGACATGAGCGTAATAGCTGCAGAGAGTTGTGTTTATCATTGATATTCGGACGGTGGGTGTCCTGTTACGTAACGTCAGCAGTGTCCAGAAATAGCTGACAGACACGGCACGCGCTGCGGGGGAAGGGGAGGGGAAGGGATGAGCCCTGAGAGCACCAGCTACTCTCCTCACTTGGCAGTGGTTGCCTCGGTGAAAAGACAGGGTTAGGCTGGCAATTCACCCGCTCCTCACTTATTAGCTTCTTACCTTGAATGCCACCGGACATCGATGTGTGTTTGTGATGGTGAACGGAGCTCGAGAGCGCGGCGCGTCGCATTTGAACCGAACCTCGCCGTACGGACACACGGAGATCAGGTCGACTGTAACAGAGCCATGTTTTAGACCGCGATGGTATAACGACACTAAATTGAAGCATCGATTTCGGCCAGTACTACATGCATTCTATACTTCTTTATTCACAATTGCTTTATTTTATCGTTTTTGTGCAATCTGCTCTAAATGGAAATTTTTGCTGATTATCTACTTATAGTTTTGGCAAGCTACAAAGGAACAAACGTATTGTAACTTTTGCATGTTGATTTTAGAACATAGGAAAGCCTGAACTTGACCAAATACCAGCTAAAATGATAAGAAATGCGCAAAGGGGCAAAACCGAGGGCAAAACAAAGGGCAAAACCGATACTGAGAAACAAACATAACAAATGGCCGTTATAACAGATCCAGGGACTGATACCAGAATTAATGCCCTGTAATAAGTGGTTTAACATTTAACAATTGGTTTGCCAAATATTTGAAGTATTTTTTTACACTTGTAGAACTTACCTAATTGAGACGAGCCGCATACCATTGTCCTTTACTGTATTACCCCGTTGATCGTGTTTTGTTTCGGTTTCATTTCGTTGTCTATTCGTTCAACGTGCGTCGCGTGTCATCTGCACGTTGCAGGCCCAGCACATATCACATAGTTTCATCAGCTTGATAGTTGTTTTTACATGATTCTGATATAGAATTGTTTAAGGAATAAAATGATTGAGTCTTGGATAGGTATTCTATTTGCCGAATGCAAAATATTTATTTTACCAAGCGAGAACATGTTAAAAACGGGTCATGCCAGTGCAAAATATCAACAAAATCAACAAAATTGATCGTTTCTCGTAAATTAACGCGCGCGTGATATTTGAATAAGGGCACCTCACTATACTTGCTTATCTATCACTATACTATCTATCACTATACTTGCTTATGCTCCCTTGCCTATAGCCCCAAGGAACATTATGAACATTGTGACTTTTAATTTCAGTAGCAAAGACAAAAACATTTTCCCTCATGGTGCCGGTGGCCCGTTTTTGTCGTGCGCCATCTGGGCTCCATACCTATCCCTGTTTTCTCAGTGTTCACCTCTGTGACGGAGACCGTCTGACCTGACCTCCCCGTTCCCCGGCAGCAATGGCGACTGTGACCGGCACCCTTCTGCGCCGCTGCTCGCGGCTCTCAGCGGCAGCCGCTCCGCTGAGCACCAGCGCGCGCGCCCTGGGCGGCGGCGGCCTGCCCACCGTGGTCGAGAGGCACGGCAACCGCATGGTAATCGGGTACGGCTTCAACGGCGAGCCCAACTACATTGACCGCGTCGACTACCCGATCCCGGCCGTCCGCTTCAAGGAGGACAACGCTCAGATCAAGGTGTGTGGGAAGGATAGCAGATGGCACTGGGCGGACGAGATTCTGGAGAGAATTGTCTGACACTCGTAATATCGCAGTTGCGGGAAGAGGAGGCTAGCGAGTCGGCTGAATGGTGTTTGTTTAGCTGTGATGACGGTGCAGATGCTCGTAAACCGTGTTTGCTTTGGCTTTGTGTTTACAATGAATGCCCTTATTCTGTGACGTTGCTCTTCCATGGGGTCAGGCGGGTTCGTTCGTCGGCCTCAGTAGTTTGTATGAGACGTATCTTGCATTTTTCTTTTTCACCTAGCTATTACCGTTATCCACTTCAACCGTTCCTGACCATACCATTTTCTATCTCACTCGTCTCTAGTCATTCATTTCTGATACAGAAACCACTCAAAGCTCCTGGCCATCTCTTCGTACTGTGCTGCGCTCGCCTCTTCTTACCCCATGCCGCTGTCGACAGGTCCTGCGTGAGAAGGAGCGCGGTGACTGGAAGAAGCTGACCAAGGAGGAGGTGCAGGAGCTGTACCGCGCCACCTTCTGTCGCTCCTTCGCCGAGATGCAGGCGCCCACCGGCGAGTGGAAGCTGGTGCTGGGCGGCACCATGCTCGCCTGCTCCATCGCCGTCTGGATCTACCTCTTCATGAAGGTGTTCGGTAAGTGATTGGCGAAACGTCGATGGATAACGCTGAGAGCGCCGGTGGACGTTGTTGGGCGTTTATCTAACATTGAGGAATCTGCAGTTGAGGGCAACATATCAGCGCGTCGGCTACCCGTATCTAATGCCGGAACTCGGATCTCTCACTTTTTAGCTATAGTCAGTTAGTTAATAAAGAATGGGAGGAATATCGTTTATCTAGCTTCTACTTTGTCAAGCCCTCCAGTCATTCTCCCCAGTTATTACCTGCCTAAACCCATTGTGCGGTTGTTCACACTCGCTGACCAAGGCTTTTCTCGCCCCAGTGTACGAGAAGCTGCCGGACACCATCACCAACCCGGAGAAGGTGGAGGCGCAGGTGCAGCGCATGATCGACCTCCGGATGAACCCCGTCCAGGGCATCGCCTCCGAGTGGGACTACGAGAAGGGACAGTGGAAGAACTAATCGCCCCGCTCCGAATGGAAAATAGAGACGTGTGCGCGACGATTTTCGCGCTCCGAGTGCGTGGGAGGATGAGTGTCTATATCTGGACGTGATCATGTCAAAGAGGAACGCGGGTAATGCTGTCCCCATTTAATAGATTCTACCTCCTGGACCACTGGTGTTTGTTGGGGGCTGACTGGTGATGATGGCTGATGCCGTCGAGGGTGAAGAGCATGCCGAGGACGCGTGCAGAGGAAACTGATGGAATTTCCCGTAAACTGTTCGGGCATCATACTTTGGTATCGTTCACTTCAGCAGGACAAAAAAGAAAATGCAAGATGGGTTTCACGACATACTATTTACCGATGAATCAGATGCACACACATTGGCCATTGCAAAGCATAACAGTCGTTCACTGGTCGCACTAATGCATTCGCACACGCCGGCATCACAGCGGTACAAAAATCCCTTTCACAAACGCTGACAAGATATTCAGAGTTGATGTTTGGAGCCGATCAAATATCGGCTTTGCTTTGGGGACACTGGTAGACGGATGGCCTTCTTCGATTTCCGTCGCAATCTCGTAGCCATGTAGTCGCATCTACCAACTCGGGTTTCCGTATTCCTCACCAGTCATTCACGCACGGCCCCCACAACGGATCATATGCTGAGCCTGTCCTCGTGATTGCCGCGTATGCGTTTATCCCGTCGCACTCTGTCCATGTCGACGTCCGGATACTGTTCTCTGAGCATGTCCAGATCCAGGTCGGGGAACCGCCTCAGTAGACCGACCACGTGTCGGTGGCGTCGTCTGTCGGAAAACATAGGAAACATGGTCACTAACTACTTCAGGAAAGACATGTCAGAGAGTTGGAGCGGTAATCTAAATGGAACGAATGGGTTCTCCGAAACTGTAGTAAACGGCTCAAAATACTATCACTACTAGATACTGCATTTGAGCCATTATTCCTCGTATTTCTCACACCATGCGGACATCTAAATACGGTAAAAATACGATTTACTAGCAGCTAGGTCATTGTCATGGATAAAAAACAAAACAAACGACCAAAAATATCGACAATGGCGGACTAACAACATCGATATGTTCTTTTCTGCTATGGCTGCGTAGCGACCAGCACTGACCGTGTCTCTCTGTTGCGTTCCGTTTTCTCCTGTTCGTGCTTCAGTTTGAGGAAGTTGGCCACGTCGGGACTGGCGTAGGGCCGCGCCGGTCGGACTCTATTCGAGTCCGTCTCCGGTTCGACGTGCTCCGTCAGCGGGCGGTCTACCATGACGCCTGGAGAAATAGGGAGGTGGAGGTGGAGGTCTGTCTACGGTCGACATATGTACATCGCCACTGGCATTTAGTTGGATACATAATCACGGGTTAGTGTTTGATAACGCGGTATCGATAGTGACCCAACTATAAGAATACTGCAACGGGAGAATTTTCGTTGACCACAAAGCATAACAAATATGACAAAAGATCTGCATATAGCCGCAGCTCGACCTCTACTCTATAGCATATTTCACAAAGTCTGCCCGTGTCCCCTCTCATCTCACCGAACTGGTTCCTCTCCCGTCGAACGGGCCGACATCCGTCCTCTGCCGAAGACACCTCCAGCTGCCAGTAGGCCTTGTTGCGCTCCTTCACCACCTGCTCCAGGTTCTTCATACTCTCTTCAACCTGCCGCGATTCGCACAGAATGAATTTCGTGTATATAATGCACTCCAGGAGTCTGGTGAGGAACACAACTATTTCTGATCGCAAGTAATCGGGGTGTGTGCCGTAATACCCGTCGGATGAATGCTAGATTAAAATTCTGCCTCTCGGACACGTCAATCATGCTCTTTTATCTGGTCGATGGCTCGTAATATCGAACCGGGTATTCATGTCGCCGCCGGTGGCCGTACCTTATCTATGCGCTCTGGACTGGGAAAGAGCTCCTTCTCCGTCTTCTCGTAATAGTGTTCGGTGGTGAGGAGCATGTTTCTCTCCTTAAGCAGGACGTACCTAAAACAAATGAGACGATTTCGAATGAGCCAGAGCACTTCACAGCGCTGGTCAAATGCGTCGTCTTGGATTCATAAGCACAAAATCGTACTCTGACGTGACACATAGGTGGTCGAAAAGTTATAAAATGCTGTTAACAATGACACATCTAGCAAATAAATGAAAAATGTGTAATGGATCACCAGAGCTTATGCAGATCTTGGTTGCTCTTGAGTCGAAGTTCTTCTGCCTTCCATGCTCTGCCGACGCGGACCTCGTCAGCTCCCCAGTTTTTCTCGTCGTCAAAGAACTCCATCAGGCCATATCTGCTACATGATGTTTGAAACAGCCTGAAAACATATGGTAAAAAAATCATGGCTCATCAATACAGCGTAGTATTGATGATTGATTGATACAGAGTACTCATCATCATTTTCACTTGAAAGTGAAAGCTATGCTAAAAGATTATATCATCAATCATCATCATATCATTTTAAACAATGTGAAAAATCTGTGACCACTTTGAAAATACCACTTATCCACTAGCAGCCAAGCATCATGAGCAAACAAAATGTAGTTCAAAATTGTCTAGTTTGGACTCATGATGTTTTTTTTCATAAATTTAGTCCGAACCTTTTGATGGGAAGGATTCACAAGGACAGAGCCACCGCTAAGCGTAGCTTGTTGCAGTGACCCTGCCCTCTACCCTCCGATCGCGCAATTCCAGTTATATGGCAGAATTTAGAGTCCAAAGTTTAACGTGCGCACATAGCCGCGCACGGCCGGTCCCCTCACTGACTTCACCTGGCTACGGCCTGCCACCAACCGCAACCATACCTGTCAGGAGGCCCATAAATGTCAAGCGCCCGTCGCGCTTCGAACCCGGACTGTTGTAACCGGGAACGCGTGCTCTCACCACGCGGAGTCCAACGCTCTACCAACTGAGCTACGGGACCGGCTATGTTATGTTATGTTAAAAGCAGAACTGACAACTCACCTGTTCAAGATAGCTAAGCTGGGACTTTTTAGTGGCAGACTTCCTTTTATCAGAACCATTTTGCTGGGCGAGAGGCATGTCGGAACACTTGATGCGAGCCTTAAACCATGGCTAAGAAATGAGTACAAGGACATACTTAGCTTGTTTAAATCAGAACTTCACAGTTCACCATGTCAAGTATGAGTAGGCAATGATGCTTCTAATTGCCTGCAATAGAGGTAAGGGTTATTCAGATGTTATCAAGTACACCACAAACAAAAAGACTAGAGGATAGTTACAGTCAGCCAGTTGCCCACTTGTGAAAAAAACTTCCTTCTGCAATGATGAAACACAAATATTGTCCGATAGGTACTGATTTTACCAGTATTTGTATCATGTTCCTTTCATTGCTGATTGAGGTGCGAGAAATGAATGGTACCTATTATTGGTAAAACAGATATCACACGAGCAGGCACGTAGACATGCTAGGACAAGAACTTGGGCCTCGGGAACATAATTCAGTTTAAAGCTCATTAAGCATACTTGATGTAAAATATGGTCTGAAGTAAATGTAAAAAAAAAATTATTTGCATTTCATTTTTAGTATAATTGCTAAACTGCGTACAATCAAGAAGTGATCTATTGCGTCCCACTCCCAGCCCTCCCTTAGTCTACAAACGTTTTGTAGTGACCACAAAGCAGTCAACCAAAGAAAGGCAGCTCTTATGGACTTATAAGTGCACCGATAATAAACTTTAAATAAGCTACAAATGCACCCACCTAGCTATTCAGCCCAAATGCGAAACAATTACTAATTGTCTTTTGTGCGCCGAAAAGCTAATCCAACTTTTGTTCACCAAACAGAGTAGGTGGAACCTGGTGGAACCTAGCGGTAAACTTTTCAAACTGAATATTTAATTTTTACGGGATACTTAAATTAGCTATTTTATGAGTCAATTAATTTTATTATCATTCAAAATTGGATAAAAAAAATTGTTATCAAAACAAATCTAAAAAAAAGGCTAAACAGGAATCCTTTTTTGTGGAAGTCATCCGACCATTGGAGAGTCGCCTTCCTAACTACGCTCAACCCTCGGATCGTCGCCCGTCGGATCGTTTTGATTGTAAGCACACGCGCGGCATCTTGGCTCGAAATTTCCGGTAAAGTATGATCAGTATGATATTGATATTGCTGGAATTTTTGCTTTGTGCGAGGTTGTTGCGTAAGGTTATCATGTTATATTCATGCAATAGCTTACTACGTGACTAATAAATATCAATTATCATGTTTACTACCCCTCTTATGGCCTTTGATAAAAAACAGATGTCATGTCCATATTGATATGCACTATTTTTTTTACTGTTTCTTTGAATGATATCATGCTTTTAATTTTGCATAACTATTACATTGTCAGCAGTGCAGTCAGCATTGACTTAGGCTTGGAGAGGTTTTAATCAATGCGTTAAAATTGTGTGGTTACACAGCAGTTAAGCAAGTCAGCTGGCAAACGATATTAGAGGCCTGCTACAGATCTAGGGCAGTGTTATACTTTTGTTAAGTGAGTTGTTTAAATATCATCAGTAAAATGGCTTTGGGCTTTGTGGCTGGATTTTGTTTTTTGCATTTTTGATGAGGCAGAAATGCAAATTTTCAGTGGGACAAGGAGTTGTAAGGGCTCTTTCTTGGCTGCATCATCCTAATAGGCATTTAGCCAATAATTCTTATTGCTTTGGAATTCATAAGCTACCCAGCCAATAAACCATTGCAGACAATTTTTTAAAAAGAAGTTATCCAGTCCATTTCATCATTAGGCATTTCATGTTCTGATGTATCACAGTAGCACCTATGAATCACTTGCACTAGAGAAATAACTCAGGCATAAATCAAGGTGGTTTTCAAAATGCAAATGCATAGGCAAACTTTAATAGCCTGAGCCTGGGTATGTATTAGTTGATGTTTGTGCTGTTTGATTGCCTGGCAGATTTGGAGATAAGAGCCATTTGTGATAAGGAATTTAAAAGAAGCCCAAGTAGAAGTAAAAATTAAGATCACAGATGAAAATGCACAACAGGCACCATGGAAATTACAAAATACCATTAGAAGATAAAGTGATGAAATAAGCCAAAATATCACAATAATGAATACATTCCAGAATATGTTTGATAATTGATATAATATTTTCAGGCTTTTGTGAAAAAAATCAATCTCATCTTGAAAATGAGCCAGGAGTCTCAACAAAGAGCTTTTGATTAATAAACAGAATCAACACAATATGTTTTATCTGAATGGGACCTCAGGAAGTCAGCCCAGCATCAGTCAGCTTCAGATTGACTAGATAGCTCGTTTCTGCCAATTTCAGAGAGTCTGCTGGGATGCCATCGACTCGGGAGCGCCGGCGCAGTCCAGAGTCACCGCATCGCCGCCGGCGGCCCTCGGGCAGCGAGGACCGACGCCGGAAGCGTTCCAGCAGCGACGACCGACGCCGCAAGCAGTCTAGCGGTAGCGACCGTCGCCGGCGTCCTTCCAGCGGCAGCGACCGTCGCGCGCGTCCTTCCAGTGGCAGCGACCGTCGCCGAAGGCTCTCCAGTAGCGGCATCTGGCGCCGGGACAGCAGAACCACCCCAGACCATAACACCAGCTGGCACTGGAAGCGCGGACAGAGGAGCGAGTCGGGCACGCCGCCGGAGCGCGGTCGTCAGACGAGCATGGACCGGCGCCGCTGGGAGACCGCCCGCAGTGAGGCGTCTCGCAGGTCCACTCTGGGCCAGAGCAGTGAGGACGGCAGGGCGGAGCGAGGGGACGGCAGACGACGCGTGGATAGACGGGGACGGCAGGAGCGCAGCGATCGACGTGCGGCACGGCGAGGACAGAGCAGCGACTCTGACGAGGACAGTGAAAAAGATCGCAGGAAAGAGGCAAGAAAATTACCTCGCGGAAGAAGGCATGATAGTAGCAGTGATTCAGAGGCGCAGGTGAAAAGGAAGAAAAAGAATGCAGAAAAGCGCCGTGGTGGTGGTTCCGACTCGTCGAGTGACGATTCAGATGACAGTGATGCTCGCGGTAAAGTTGCAAAAGCTAAGCCCAAAAAGAAACAGTCCAGTGACAGCTCCGACTCCGAGGACTCAGACGATCCTGGAAAAGCGAAGAAAGGAAGCGCTGCTCAGAAAAAGCGCAAAGAAAGGCACGCCTCAAGCTCTGAGGATAGTTCTTCGTCGGAAGACGAAAAACGTAAAAGCAAGAAGAAGACCCAAAAGTCCTCGGGAAAGAAAGCAGAAAGCAAACGAAAGAGTAGATCTAAATCAAAACAAAAGACTCAAACTACCGACTCTGATGATTCTTCAGATGCGGTCTCGAAAACCAAAGATAAGAAATCCACACACAAGCGCAGACGCAAGGGACGTGACGAAACTGAGAGCTCGAGTGACGAAGAGAGCCCAGAAAGACCCAAGGGTAAGACCGAGAAGAAGAAACGCCGTCGCAAATCCAGCGACGCTGATTCAGATTCTTCAGAAAGTGACGATGGTAAAACCTCTAAATCTAACGCCCAAAAGAAGCCTGCCAAGGGACGCCATGATACTGACAGCAGCTCTTCAGACGACGAACGACCCAAAACGAAACCCTCTGAGAAACCGAGCAAACCTGCGGCACGAGCGAAAGCCAGCAGCAGTGATGATAGCGACTCGGATGCCTCTCCACAACCAAGGTCCTCGGCGCGCAGGGAGACCGGCTCTGGCGGACGGTCTGGTGGCACGGGTGACCGAATTCGTGGCCGAGAGGACAGCCTCAGGCGCCGTGAGCCGGAGTCGCAGCGGCGTCAGGACGCGAATCGAGATGGTGAGCGACAGCGCGAGAGGGAGAGAGAAAGGGAGAGGGAGACTGAGAGACAGAGGAGGGACAATCCCGGCAGAGAAGATCGCCGCAGGGATAGAGACGGACTGGATAGAACAGATCGATCGGGCGATCGAGACCGAAGGACTGATCGAGATGGACCAGGTGATCGAGGCAGAAGAGACGGAAATGCGAGAGACAGAGAAGATCGACGGGACAAAGATGAACAGAGTAGGAAGGAAGAGCGAGATAGAAGTAGTGGACGAGAAAGAAACGAACGGGAGAGAAGAGAGCAGCGAGACAGAAATGAGCGGGAACGAATGAATGAACGTGATAAGAGGGTCGATCGGGACAGAAACGACCGGGAGAGAAGTGACAGAAGGGAAGTAGAAAGGAAAGAAGAAAGAGACAGAAAGGAACAGGAAAGGAAGGACGAGCAAAACAGGAGGGATGCCCGAAACCGAGAAGAGCGAGACAGAAGGGCGCGCAACACAGGTGACCGGAACAGGGATGATTCGCGTGACAGGAGAACCGAGAGAGACGACAGGAGAGGCCAGAAGGACAGAAGAAGCGAATCTGGCGAGCGTGAACGGGGCAGAGTCGATTCTCGAGACAGAGCGCAGCGCAGCGAGCGAGACAGAGGGTCGGATAATCGGGACAGAGGCTCGGAGAACCGGGACAGAGGATCCGGAGCGGGTCGAAGAGACGGTCCCGCCTCACATCGGGAGGAGAGTCCAAGGAACAGAGGTGGCAGGCCACTCGATCGGGACAGCAGTGGGGAGAGAGCTGAGCACGCTAGGAGGGAGAGTGAGGAGGGGCGTGCGGACGCTCCAGCAGTGGCGGAGCGGACAGCGGCAGTAGGAGAGGCTGAGGAAAGGAGCGCTCACCGAGAGTCAGACTCGGAGTCTGACTCTGACTCGGACGGAGAGAAGTCGCGTCCGACGGCGGCGGCCAAACGGCGACATGACTCCAGTGACGAGGTGAGAGGTGATAGCTGGGCCACAATGTTATGACCCTTTGGTGTGAGCTAACCTGATGTGTACTAATTTTATTCAGCATTACACCGATCACTTTGCTGTGTAAGTGTTTGCTCTCATTTTGCATGATCACTGTCTTTATTTCGCGCACGATTTGTGCTAAAATAAAAAAGTTATTTCATTGGGATATTCACTATTCAGTCTGTTGTGATTATGATTTATTCTTGTCAGTACCCATAACCCTATTGCTGCCTTTCATCACCTTCATAAGTGCACTGCACAATGCACATTTGTGATAATCTTGATGTCTGCTTCCCCAGTCCTCCGATTCCGAAGAAGAAGGCTCAAAGAAGCCGTTGGTTTCTCGCGCACAGGCAAAGAGTGACTCATCTGAATCAGAAGAGGAGCGGCCGACCAAAGTCGGCCGGTCCTCGAAGAAGAGCGAATCTTCTGAATCGGAAGAGGAGCGACCGACCAAAGCTGTTCAGTCCAGTGTCAGGCGCGCGGAGCCTGCCAAACAAGGTAAGATATCAACTGCAGATGCTACACGACGTGTTGTCTACCGAATACACGTATCGAATTGTAATTTATTTAGCTATCCTATAAAAGTTTTATCGTGAAATGTGTTTTATCTCACGTTTTTCGTGATGGCACCCCACACCGCTTTTAATGTGGAATATGACGGTAGCCTCCATCTCCTTATATTGTGAGGTATGCCATTAGGTAGCTAATCTGAAGGAAATTCTCCAATTTCAGATTCTGCCTCTTCGGATTCAGAAGCTGAGGAGCAGCGAACCGTGCAGTCTGTGGTGCGACGCGAGGCCTCTCCGGAGCCTAGGGACGAAGGAGAGGTCGAAGAGGGGGAGGAGGGGGAGTCGAGGACCGTTCGCTCGACAGTTCGGCGCCCGGACTCTCCGGAGCAGCCTGAGCAGAGCCCGGACAGCTCCGAGGCCCATCAGGGCACCAAGAGGGCTCACCCAGCCCCCACCGGTGATGACTCGGCGACTCCAGCGACAGCTAAGCGTACTCGCCACGACTCTGAGAGCTCCAGCGAGTCAGGCGAGCTGACCGATGACTCTGAGTCGGGAGTCGCCGTCGCCAGCGCCGTGGAACTGCGGAAGGCGAGGGAGGAGATCGGAGACATCGATGACGAGGATGCTGGCGAGCCAGCGACCGGCGGTGGTTCGCGTCCGGAACAGGACAGACAGGCCGAGCCCCGACAGCAGGACGCCCGGGAGTGGATCGGGCGGCCACAGCCAGTGGGCGATCGCTACTGGCGGGCAGAGTCTCCCCCTCCCGAGCGCCGCTCTCCCAACAGAAGAGACCGACGCGGCGACCGGTCACCGCCCGGCCGGGACGGGGACGGCAGGGCGCCGCGACGGGACCGCTCGCCCCGGGACCGGCCTGACAGAGACGCCAGGAGTCCGGAGCCGAGCCCTCCGCCCAAACCGTCCACCAAGCCGGACGACTCGCTGATGACGAGGACGGGCGGCGCTTACATCCCGCCGGCCCGGCTGAGGATGATGCAGGCGCAAATCACCGATAAGACCAGGTGTGCTAGAGCGGATGAAACAAATGAGCTTGCATTGCAAAGAGGAGGAGCCTAGAATGCATAGGAGTTGAAACGTATTATGTAGATGATTTGCCACCCGAGGGATTTAACTAACTTGAATATCCTTTGCTCACTATGGCTACCTAATTTTAAAGGGCTTATCTCAAATCGCTCCTTATTTTTGATGCGCTTGTAATTCAGGAGCTGTTATTTTCTCCGCGTTTACCATTCATTGAAAGATGAACACCTCCGTGTGTGTGAATAAACCTCATCACTTATCCATTTTCTCCGCCCTACCTTCAGCGCTGCGTTCCAGCGTCTGGCCTGGGAGGCGCTCAAAAAGTCCATCAACGGTCTCATCAACAAGGTGAACGTGTCCAACATTGGTATCATCGTGCGGGAGCTGTTTGCGGAGAACGTGGTGCGCGGCCGCGGCCTGCTGTGCCGCGCCATCCAACAGGCCCAGACTGCCTCACCTACCTTCACGCACGTTTACGCCGCACTGGTGGCCATCATCAATGCGAAGGTGAGCGAGCGGATGTTTTTACAGGCGCACAGTGTATACCCACCTGCCGTGGCTCTTTGGTGGGTGGGTGTGAGAGATTCTGCAGTGTGTGCGGTAGAGTATCTGTGCGTGTACTAGCCTAGTGGGTAATGTGTGACTCATTTGCGCGGGCGGCTTCATCTATGGAGGAAAGGCAGTTGTTGTCATGCTACTTAGTAAAGTGGTGGGATTAGTCTCTATCGCTTTTATGATCTTGTTTAGTTCGCGCTTTACTTTTTTTGTATTAATGTCGACAACAATTATCACCAAGATGCTTGCAAAATGATATCGGTGATGAGTCTCTCCCCCATCTTGGTGTCGCGCCAAGATGGGGGAGTCCCCTAAACCCGACTGTCTAAGCTAACTGTCCAGCTGAACTGCCCCATCCATCATCTGACAGCGCTCTGTGGCGGTGTGCAGTTTCCACAGATCGGCGAGCTGCTGCTGCACCGGCTCATCCTACAGTTCAAGCGGGGTTTCAAGCGCAACGACAAGACGCTCTGCATGTCGGCGACCAGGTTCACCGCCCATCTGATCAACCAGCAGGTGGTGAGTTCCCAGGGATAGAGGGCAAAGCTGTCGGTGGTGGTAAGGCTATTGGTCGAGTAGAAACAATTAGGCACATGGGCGTTAGAATGTAAAAACAAAAACGTTTACTTTCTTGGATTGCTGGAGGCTGCTGTGCGGCAAAATGCTCGCTGAGAATCCGACGAAATTTATGTGATGGATACTTGGCCATTTGATTCATCGATGAAAACCATCTTCACCATGCCTGCTGAAGTATAGGAAACACTTGATTTTACCTCTTTTAGGCTTAGTTAGTGTGCCTGGTTTTCTAGCGAAGCTCACAAATTATTTTACCCTGTGTAGCAGTATCAGGTTTTCTGTGAATTGTTGTCTTACAGCTACCTTGGCGATCTTTGTTCGCGCACTCAGCCCCCCCCCCCCCGCCCTTCTGCCGTTCAGGCGCACGAGGTGCTGGCGCTGGAGGTGCTGACGCTGCTGCTGGAGACGCCGACCGACGACTCGGTGGAGGTGGCCATCTCCTTCCTCCAGGAGGTCGGCCAGAAGCTGACCGAGCTCTCCCCTCGCGGTATCAGCGCCATCTTTGAGCGGCTCCGGCACATCCTACACGAGGCCCAGCTGGACAAACGTGTGCAGTATATGATTGAGGTGCTGTTTGCGGTGAGGAAGGATGGCTTCAAGGCACACCCGGCGCTGCTGGAGGAGTTGGACCTTGTGGAGGAGGAGGAGCAGTTCACCCACCTGGTCACACTGGATGAGGTCACCAACGCCCAGGACATGCTCAGTGAGTGGCCGTTTGAGGGAGGGAGAGGGATGGAGAGAGCAGCTGCAGAAGCGGGTGGGATGGTGGTGATAGAATTTATTAGATGGGATGGTCGTATTTATGCTGTCTTATTGTACTGTCCAACTTGTTAGCAGGGTGTGTGTGGTTTTCATCGATATTGTCATAATCATAGGTAACATGAATTTATGCTGTCTATATCGTAATATATTAGTCTTTAAGATGCACTCAGGGTTCGATATATTTCTTCCTCTCCTCCCATCTCGGTGGACCTGACATCCCCCCCCCCTCCCCCACAGACGTCTTCAAGCTGGACACGGAGTATGAGGCCAACGAGGAGAAGTACGCCACCATCAAGAAGCAGCTGCTGGACGACTCTGACGACTCGGAGGAGGGCAGCGGCTCGGAGGACGAGAGTGGGTCCGGGGCAGACAGCGCCGACGAGCACGGTAGGCGGATGGGCGCGGGCTGGGGGGGGGGGGGGGTACCGTTAGGATGGGGTTGGACATGGCTGAGGTGTTGAGTGTAGGAGGGCCGTGTGAATGGGTATCTTTCTGATGGTGTGTGGTCGTTTTGTCGGGATGTCCAGTCACTGGAACGGATTTTATTTTCGAGAGGGAATTTTGGAAACGGTCCTGCCTACTAAGGGATGTTGTATCCGTAGTTTCACATCTTCCCGTAGGTATTTAGGTGTAAATCGTAGTGGTTGCACTAATTTGTCCCTAAATCTCCTCACTCAGTTCTGAACCAGCATGTTTCATTTTGCCATTATGTCTTATCCCTCTCCCTCCCCTCCTTCCCCTCTCTCCGACAGACGACACCGCGCCAATCATCGACAACACGGAGACCAACATGTTGGCTCTGCGGCGCACCATCTACCTCACCATCAAGTCCAGTCTGGACTTTGAGGAGACGGCCCACAAGCTGCTCAAGCTGAACCTGAAGCCGGGACAGGAGGTCGAGTTGTGCCACATGGTGCTCGACTGCTGCGCCCAGGAGAGGACATACGAGAAGTTCTTTGGTCTCCTGGCCCAGGTTGGTTGGGTATTAGCTGTTTGGCTTGGAAAAACAGCCCGGGCTAAGAGTTTGAATCAGTGCCAGTCTAATTGCAGACAAGTAAAGTTAAATCTTCTAGCCGTTGTGTTATTCAAGTCTTTTAATATTCAAGCCTTTTTGGTCAAATAACCCGCGTTTGTAATCAAATAGCCTATGTTTGTGCCTTGTGGTTATCGGAACTATCTGCGCTATCCGGTCGGTTCTGGTCTGCAACTGTCATCCAGATAGCTTCTCATCGCTTTTGTGTCGTGTTGTGTCGTGTACCCTGTCTCAACCCTTCCCGCCTCCCGCAGCGTTTCTGCATGATCAACCGCAAGTACCAGGACCCGTTCGAGCAGATATTCCGCGATACCTACGACACAGTCCACAAGCTGGAGACGAGCAAGCTGCGCAACGTCGCCTGCCTGTTCAGTCATCTGCTCTACACAGACGCCATATCGTGGGGTGTGCTGGCGCACGTCCGTCTGAATGAAGAGGATACGACCAGTAGTAGCCGTATCTTCATCAAGATTCTGTTCCAGGAGCTGTCCGAGTACATGGGACTGCCGCGACTCAATGAGAGGATTAAGGATCCGTAAGTCTGCATCGGGTAGGGATAGAGGTGGGGATGGGAGCGAGGTAGGAGTGGGGTGCGGATGCGGGAATGATCGTGTCCTCTTGGCGACTGTGATGCTATATGGGATGCTTTACCCTGAATGACGTTCTATCGGATTTCATTCAGTCATTTTGGAAGTTTGGCTCTTACCTCTAAAAAAGTATGCAGCTGTGAAGATCGTCTATCATTGTGATAACTGGTAGCTCATATGAACCGTAACCTTTATTGGCACTGTCTGTCTTCAGGACTCTGGCAGAGGCGTTTGAGGGCATCTTTCCCCGCGACGATCCGAAGAACACCCGCTTCTCCATCAACTTCTTCACGTCCATCGGTCTGGGAGGCATCACGTAAGTTCGATCAATTTCTTCAAATCCTCAGTTTGGGGTACACGTGCGTCTCGAGCCGTTTGTGCCGTAACCAAAACTACGACCTTGTACGCGACTCAATGCTGCAGTCGTTTTGCCTTTTTTACCTTCCTCGAGATTTGTCTTTCCCGAAGGCCCTCAGTTGAGACAATCTAAATGACCTCTCCCTCCGGACACTCTCAGGGATGATCTCCGCGAGCATCTGAAGGCGCAGCCTAAACCTACGGCCGTGGTGGCGCCCATTGTAAAGGACGGCGAGGAGGGCAGCTCCAGCAGCTCCAGCTCCAGCTCCGAGAGCAGCTCCAGCTCAGAGTCCAGCTCCGACTCGGGTAAGAGTGCTGCTACTGGGCGGGCTGCTGCGGCCTGGTGTTGGGGACCTGACCCCACATAGTAGTTTTTGCCTTTGCATGGCAGAGGTTCTCATGAGGGCGAATTGAAGCCGTCACGGCAATGTGTAGAACGGGTGGACCGCTATGTACGGTCTAGAATTTGCTGCTTGTTGTCAAACAAATGTTTTTGTTAGTTTCTGGCGCTTTGCCTCTATTTCTGTATTTGCTTTTTTCTTACAGTACCCAGTTAAAATGTGTTGTCCCATTCTGCTATCTCGTGTGACTGCTTTGTCGGTCTTCTTGGTTAGTTACGTAGGATTATATTTGCGGAACTTCAGTGTCATAAAGAGCCCTCCATCGCTATGATTATTTTATTATTGCGATTTATATTCACCTCGCGCCCTGACCTCGGCCGTTCCCTGCTCCACAGACTCAAGCGACTCCGACAGCGAGGCGGAGCGGCGCAAGAGAAAGCGAAAGAAGAAGCGGAAGAGCAAGTCGTCCCGCAAATCAGACAAGCGCAGCAAACGGAGGAAGACGGCATCGTCCAAGTCTGAGCGAGGTGAGGCTTCGTCCTCGCGAGGACACGAGCAGTCTTCCTCTCGCCGTCGCGAAGAGTCCTCGACCTCACGTCGTCACGAGCGGCGAGAAAAGTCCTCATCTTCCTCTCGAAGGCGATAGTCCCTCCGAAGAGGAATGGTGAGTGTGTGGAACGTAAGGTGTCGGTTTGTGAACGTGTTTTCCGTCGACTGTCTGACGATGGTTGTTGAAGACGTGCAGTGTGTGTCACTGGCAACATGTGGCTCCATGTTTTGTACATTCTAGCTAGGAGAGATGTGGTTTTCAGTTTTGCAACGTTGCTTTCTGGCTGGGCCAGATGTCTGCTTCAAGATTTACACAGAAAGGCTCCACATTCATCTCGTTTTCTTTTTACTGCGTAGTTTTTGATGGCGTTTTGGACAATATCGGTGAAGAAAGGTTTGTGAATATCATCTTTTACACAAACTACTGCTGACCTTTTCTGCACCAATTCACCAAGCTGCCTTTCACCAGCTGATTCAAATTCAAAACGTATATTGCCCGTGCCACCATCGTTCAATCAAACTGTTAGGATTGCTGAATGCTAACTGCATGACAGGGATAAAACCTGTCTCTACCCGTAGACCAGCGCGATTGAGCAGTAGAGGGACGAACAGTCGCTCTTGCTGGGGTGCGGGGAGTAGCCCGAGTGTCTGGCACATTTTGTGCGTGTAGATGTGCGTCCGTGTCGTATGATGCAGGCTGTGTCGCTCGTCGGTGTTCCCAGATGTGTCATGTGTCATCACAGCTGACTGGAAGCGTGCCAGTTGTACTTACGGTGTTGGCCGTCCTGAGTATGTTGAGCCACCATTCGAAGGGGTCGGAACCCCTAACATGTTAAACCCCGCTGGAAACGACCTGCGTATTTGCTCATCCACACCGTCTTATAAATAAACCCATGGCTCAACGTATTTGTGTTTTCTCTTTCGTACTCTTTCGTACACACTCTCGTAGTGTGGTTCCCTTCTATTCGTGTTTGAACGTTGAACCGTTTTCGGTTACAGGCTCAATTTCCAAAATCACGGCTATATTCCTGGCTGCTTCTCGAGTATGGGTAGGGAGCGCCCAAAGCAATGATGTGGCCTTGAGTCAGTACGTGCACGACCGACAGTCTGGCTGCTCATGAACGCAAAGTCGTTGCACAACAGAATCTGATTCAAATTCAATAAAACATATATTTACCCATAAAACACTGCTCACGTACTTAAAAAGTGAATGACACATAAGACTCGGCGATCATAAATATGCCAATGCCACCAGTCATACTGGGGTTCATAAATGCGAGAAAATCAGCCGAGCATCCGCTGCTTGCGAGAATAAAGCCAAGCTCTAGCAGTTTGAGCTGTGTATGTCTGTGACGTCTCAGACATATTCTGACTCAAACCCTGCCTCTTATACGTCAGAGACACGCCTGCTCAGAGTTGCGGCACTGTTCTGGGTCTGACAGCGATCATCGTCCGATTCGTCAGTAGCACAATAGCCCGAATCACTGTTATCAGTGCGCTGCCCTCCACCCTCACAAATTACCGATGTGCCAGTCACACGCCCTGCAGACTTCGTGTCGTTGCTCATTTCCGGAGTGACGTGATTTCTCGAGTTTAGGGTGACGTCACCTCTTGCCTCCTGGGTGACATCGCTGTCATCTTGGTCCAGATTTTCGTGGTGCTCTTCAGCAATAGTCTCGCAGCGCCGGTGCTTGTGGTGGTGATGGTGATGACGGTGATGTCCGTGACGATGGTGCGATCTGGTGCCCAGAGCCGCTGCCGGCACGCGCAGAATGCCCGGCAGTGGCGCCACCTTTACTGCATCCGGTGGCGCTGCTGACGGCGCCGCGTCCGGCCGCGCGTGCGCCGCGGTCCGCTCGTCGAGTCGGGTCAGTGCCGCGTTGTACCCTCGCAGACTGTGTTGAACCACCTCGTGGTGCAACTCCAGATCGGCAAACAGCTCCAGCAGCGCCTGCCGATGGTCGAACATCGTACCGCTGGAGGGCGGCTCCATTTCAGTGACGTCGTTATCGGACATGGTGCGGTACACACCCGGTCCAGAGCCGTCGGAAGAGCTGCTAACCTCTGGGAAAAAAACACCAAGCGCTGTCAGTGCTTATTCGAGTTTGATCCTACTGGCAAACATTTGAACTTATGTCGCGTACTTGACGATTTTATGTAAAATCGTAACACTAATGCCTACAGGTACGGTCCAGTGTCCTGAGCTTCTATTTTGTTACTGATTCGCAACGTCAGGGCTTTGAAATAGAGTAGGTACTAACCTTCCTCGCAGCTCCATATCCGGTCGAAGCGGAACAACTTGTGTCGGAGAGCCTTCCCCAGCCTTCGAAGTCCCCTCTTCACCCGGTGCCACCATCTGGCGGTGCAGTCAGTCTCCTTGTGGAAGAACAACAGCATGCCGACCAGCAGAAACAGGAACAGGAAGATGCCCAGAATCTTGGAGATCAAAATACCTGGAATGGGTACAACGGATGACCTAATGAACACAGAACGCAATCGTCCCTTAAAACGGGAAACCAGATGTCTCGGACGTTAAAACCGATACTTTATGCAACAAAGCTACTTTTGAAATATGTTCAGCAAGTGTTCGGCTCGTTTGCTGATGGACCGACCTTCCTCGGAGGTCTCGACGCTGGGCGCTCGGATCAGGTGGCGCTGCTGGGTCAGTTGGAGCCGGGCCTCGGCCGTCAGCCGCTCCAGCAGCGCCAGCTCGCGGCGACGCTCCTCGTAGCTGACAGACGGAGACGGAACTGCAGAGAGCAGGTTTAAGGTCACCAATCGTGTAAGGTGTGTCTAGGGCACTGAAAACAATCGTCCTTTCTTCCATCTCCCATTCTATAAGTTGCGTTTGCTCCTCCCGCCTCCGAGAAACAAACGCCACGAGCCAGCTCTCAATGTGACTGTAAACACATAAAGCTGACTTAACCCTCGCATGTGTGCGGCGTTTTCCAGCTTCTAATGTGTAGGGGGGGGGAGGGTCGGTTGGACCCCCCTTGCCGTTTGGCCCCTGATCGAGCTAGAGCTTCGCGGAAAAAAACGAGCGTGTTGCCCGTGACGAGAGGAAGCCGATGCTACCCAATTTTAAGGTCCTAGGTCATTGGTTGACCTTCCAAGTCAGGTCAATGACCCAAAGCCGGGAAAATCGGGACCTATTAGAAAGTCGTAAAGTGTGGCTTCTAAGGGGTTTTTCGGGGTGCTGATCACGAATATCGTGTTAGTTTTGATCACAGATGATGTCTTTAAGCATTTAGACCAGGTCGGGTCAGGTCAGGTCAGGTCAATCAGTAGGCGTCGTGACGGGTATTCGTAGTACGTGTCAACCGCCTCTGACAGCTTCGTAACATGTTACGAAGGCACCAAAACTACTTCGTAAATGTTCAAATGGTTGCTAAATTCGAATTCAGCTCCAAAAACTAGCCTAGAAACATGTAAAACTCGAAAAAGTGAACCGAGGTCACCCGAGGTCACCAAAGGTCAATGACCTGACCTGACCTTCAGGTGACCTTGACACCCACCCTAATGCATGGGAGCAACATCAAATCACATGTTTGAACGTTTGAAACCACGAAAAGCTTGCAAACGCGCGGCTAATGCGAGCCGACGTACGTACGTGTACGCCGAATCGCGATTCCGGCCAAACATGGTCTCGGAAAAGAGGTCACAGGTCAAAGGTCATTTGGGTCAGGGTCATGAAATTTGCAGGGTAGGTGTCAAATTGATCAATGCGAAGGTACTGAAAGTTTCGTCGCGATCGGCCGCTTTTTACGCGAGTTATTCGCGAAAAACCATGGGGGGGTCCATCCGACCCCCCCCCCCTACACATGCGAGGGTTAATGCGGTGCAGGTTTGCAACCATTTCAAATTTTAGAATAAAAAATGCGTGTCCATGCGAGTGTGGTGATACAGCGATGTTGGTGTCCTAAACCACGATTAATTTATTACGGTAGCCGTAATTGCCTCCGGAATAAGTTCACTTGCTTCTGGTGAGGTATCGATTCTTTGATGTCCATGGACACTTTAATTCCGGCGCGGATGGCGTTGAACGTTTAATTATACATATTAATATTTACTCGTCACTACCGCAAGAAAATGCTCCTTGCTACTACAGGTAGATCTCCATTACGAGCAGAGCGAGTAATTGAACTTACTCATCATTGAAGACGGGCGCAACACTTTGTAATTACACTTTCAGCTCACACGATCTCAAAATCAGCAGCACACACACGGTCTTCTGTTCCCGGGTCTCAAAGCGCACGCTCTTCACCTCACCGCCCTGCGACCTTGACCCGGGCCAGCTGACGAGCGACTGCAGCCGCCCGGTCACAGGCATACGGTTCGGCCCGTGGTTACCCCCCCCCCCCCTTCCTCCTTCCCCGGGCTCTGTGTTCTCATCAGAGCCATTGGGTCCAACAGCGTTCGATGTTCATTTGCCCAAGTCTGATGACTGAGCCGCTCTCTAACTTCGAATACAGACCTGAAGACTCTGGCAAGTGTGAGGCAGCTTAGCGACACTCTGATGAAAAGAAGTAAAAGAACTTTTTTCATTCTTCGAAAAGCAGCTCCATATGAGAAGTGTGACGTTTCATCACGAACATAGGCGGCGGAACGGGGAGGGCACCGGGGCACCGTGCCCCCCTTTAATTTTGGCATAATTATAACATGAGCCCTATGGGCGTTGCATGGAAAGAATGGGACCAAACGTCGGCAGTGCCCCCCCCCCCCCCCCTCCTTAATTGAAGGTGTTCCGCCGCTACTGATCACGAACAGCGCGCTTGGTCTCATTTACTGGTGGAACGGTGACCTGACAATGAATGATGGTAAATCACTGAAAAATCGGGCTTTGGTTTTAATGGCGAAAAACTAAAAACGCTCATAGGGCACACGTTTGTCCTGTCGAGACAGTCGAATGATGGAAGGTAGATGCTTTTTGTTTGGAAAAGGTCAAGGCCAATTGGTTGGCCTAAAGTGACCCCAGATGACCTTGGACGACCTCGACACATGATGGGTTCGTAAGCGTTGAGTGCAAATTTAGCATTCATTTTATTCTAATCATTTGTCTTGAGGATCAGTAAAGCTACACTACACATACCTACATAACATCAATAAACACTAATAACCTATCACGTTTGACGGTGAGGAGGGAGAAAACTTCAGATTACAAGAAAAACTATATCCGCCGATCCTGACCTCGCTTATGACATCATAGTAGTTAGGTGACCTGACCTGAAAAGAAAGCAAATTTTAATGTCTATGTCCGAAAGATGATCGGAAAATTAGGTGTGCCAAGTTTTGGTTCTATTTGGTGACGTGTTCGGGACGTTATAAGAAAAAGTTTAGGAACGTTTTTAACAAATCATCTCCATGATGCGTAACGAAACTCAGGTGTGCATTACGCAACTGTTGACCGAACATTGCATTTCACCAACTGGTGAACAAGTGAACTGACCGACCAGGCATTGCATTTCACCAACTGGTGAACAAGTGAACTGACCGACCAGGCTGAAACGCAGCCATGACGTCATCTACTACGGTATGACGTCACCGTCTGGGCGGTCGACGCTAGACTGCGAGCGGCGTCTGCCAGCGGCGGCGGGCGGGCGGCGGCGGCAGCGGCAGCGGCGGCAGCAGTGCCGGTTCGACGGTGGACCGGGAACGGTCGGGGAGTGGGGGCGAGACGACGGCACGCGACTCGAGCTCCCGGCATCCAAGATCCAACTGGATAATCGCCATGATGGTGAGCGCTGTAGTGTAGTTTCCCTTTGCACCTGATCCGCCCGTAAATATCGAATTGTTTTCACATGGTAGTCTTCACGCCTGTATCGAAATAAGCAATACAGAAGAATCCGCTTAATTAATAAATTTTCGGATGATACCTAAATTCAGCCGCTTATTGTGGCCACTTGAGCTGTTCACGGATTTCTCCATAGAAGCATAACTGACTCCGGTTAATAAAGCCACCGCCGCCGCGTCACCAATGTGGATTCAACTGTATTTAAAGAAGATAATTATTTTAAACAATAAAACCTGTTCTGAATAAAAAGTCATGAACTCACAAAAGTGTTATTATGGAAAAAGAATATACCAACTTCAGTGAAGTTTGCATTACCTAATCATTTTTCGTTGCATAGAGCATTTTTCGTTCGTTAATTCTTCGATCGTTGGCAGATTTTGATTTCCGTTTTCACCGTCTTTCTTTACGACTATCCGTTTGGAAATAAGACGGGCAGAACCAGCCTTCAGACGAGCGCGTTCGGCTGAATACCCCAGCGGCGCGCGGGTTACGTTACCGATCAACCTTATTGCATTGCCGTGTCAGCGATCATGCATCCATTTCAGAGACGTTATAGATTTCCTCGTCTGAAAGAACGCCGTGGGAAGATAACCACACGGTCCGGAAGTTTGTCTGATGCCAGAGCTATCCTCACATGCGACTCGACCATTTCCGTTTCTTTCCTAGGCACGTGGTGTACAAACCTATGACAATTTGGCTATAATACGAGGCAAATGGAAAAGCGCGCTTTGTGTTCCATCCCAATTATCATGTGTAAGAAATATAGGTATATGTATGAATGTAAAAAGAATTTAGGTAAAAATGATGCAAATGAAGAGGCAGACAAATGAAAATGCAAAATATATTACCTACAAAAGGACACAAAATGCATCAACCAGACTTCTTTTGATTATACCTTTGAGGCCGATTAGCTGTCGTTATCCCGCACCGTAGACAGTGTCCATTGCTTCACGTGCAAAGAGAGAAAATTATCAGATGTCGTTTAACTGATTTGTTAAATGTCTAGTGACGATTAACAACTGTTAAACGTCTATATAGTAGACATTTCTGCCATTTTACCGTCTCGTTATTTTCACCAGTATGCGCTGGGAAACGCAATGAAACATCATTTTCCTTTTCTTTTTTAGTTCTATTTTTGACTTCATCTTCAATGTACCCGTCAATTTCAGACCGATCACATTGTTTGGACCGTTTTTCAAAGCTTCATCTGTCTCTGCTTCTCGTTGTCTCTGGCTCTGCTGAAATATGTCTTATTTTTATATAAAATGTAATTTTCACCTTTAAGCTCCCGAAAGATATCGGCAGTTCGGGATAAAATTATTAAACCGCTCGTAGGTAGAAAAATCTTTTAAACGTCGAGCCGATAGGCGAGACGTTTAAAAGATTTGTTCTACCTACTCGCGGTTTAATATATAATAGCTGTATTTCAAACAGAGACTTTCTTTTTCGTCCATTTTCGTAATTTCTTTGAGTCGGTTTGGCGCCTCTCACTACCTGTGGAATCCCTGCAAAAAAATTATATGTTCTAGGCATAACGGGTTGCATTGTAATGCCCAACGTTCGGCCAGACAAGGTCGTCCTTAGCTTCTTCTCATCAAAATGGCAAATTTAGTAACATTTCAACTAATCCTGGTTATAATTGAGCTATAAATCAGCTTTCATTTACCATCAACAAGCTATTCAACCATAAACAGTGTTTGTAATTAAATGATTAAACACGGTTCGCATGCAGCTAAATGCGAATATTTGCGCGGATCGTTTAGCTGGAATCCAGAGCACTGCGGTAGGGCCAGAGTGCGGCCACACACGACAATTTTGGTGACGAGCTGCGGCATAAATGACATCTCATTAGCGTCACTCAGCCAAAGAGCAACAATTTATGCAGTGTAATTTGCCCTTAACTGCCCGCCATTAGAGCAGTTGCATGCATTATTTCACTGCAGAGATATGCGTCTGCTCTCGTCATTGTTTTCTCCTTTACAAACTTTCTTTCCGTTGGATTTCATGTAGTATGCGATTGCGGTGACGTGCATGCAGTGGCCCCTGATTCGTCTACCAGGCTGTTCTCTGTTACATATGTCCTCTCCAATTCGTTCTGACATGGAAAATTTTAGTTTTGCTGGATAGTTTTTACGGGCTTCATTGCTGTTGGCGACTTAACCCTCGCCGGACCTATTGGTTTTCTACATACGCGCCGGCCGAGGGGGGGGGGGGGCGGGTACGACCCCCTCGCCGTTTCGCCCCTGGTGGAGCTAGCGCGTCGCGGAAAAAACGAGCGTGTGCGCCGTTACGAGACGCAGAGATTGGTACCCGATTTTAAGGTCCTAGGTCAACCGATGACCTCTGAGGTCAGGTCAAGTGCCCCAAGGTACGGTTCAGTTTTTGGTGAATAACTTCGCAAAAAACGGCCGCAGAGCGCCGATTTTGGCAGCATCGTGTTCGCCTCGCTCAGGCGCGTCGAATGATATACTTTTTGTCCGGGTCAGGTCAACTTGGGGTGTTGACCTCAGGTCAAGGTCAGGTCAGCACCCCCAGGTCACGAAGTTGGTCGAAAGAGGTCATGTCGCATATCATTCGATTCGGCAGGCCTTCCTGAGTCCATTGGTGGCTTTCCCGAATCGCTAGCTTAATTTGATCAAGAGTTATTGACGAAAAACTAATATGACCTTGATGACGTCATAAATGACGTCACGAAAGGTCAACATTGCGAAAGTGACGCATCTAACCTTGCAAGGAGTGCATCAAATCACGATTCTTTGTGCTTGAGATAGTTGGAGATCGTTCCCGGCGCCAGAATAGCAGTTTTCATTTTTCCCCATTGACTTATAACGGTGAGGTCACGAAAATGACCTGACCTCATATGACCTTTAGGAAAAATCCGAGATACACAAGTTGTGGAACTCATAATGGATACTAGATCCTGCAAGTTTCATTTCCCTGTGACATTTCCTCTTGCAGTGAGGGCGTTGCGAAGTTGCGACATCTGAAGACCGTGCAGAGGTTCACTTATGACGTCATAGGTCAGTGACCTGACCTGACCCAAAAATGCGGTTGGTGTCAAAAGATCCGGCTTGGATCAAAGGTCAGGTATGCCAAGTTTCAGCTCTCTATCGCCAGCGTGTTCGGAGCTATCGCGAAAAAACCCTATGGGGGGGGGGCGGCACCCGCCCCCCCCCCCTCGGCCGGCGAGGGTTAAAATGTTTTGAAACGATCTACACACTACTCACAAATGAAACGTTAAATTTTACCAAGTACCTATCCTTGTTCAGCGCAGATCATTATTCCTCTCCCAGTTGTGATTTCATTTTCATTCTCTCGAAATTAATTGTCATTCCCTCGAAATTGCGCCTCATTGGCATACCCCTTGGGGCCAATAGGCCGGTTCCGTACTGTTGGTCCCCGCCACCAGGAGAACGTATAATAACTAGTCAGTCGTTATGTAGGGCGTATATACAATGTCCATATTCAGACTCACAGTCCACACGGTGTTCCGCCTTCTCTTTCACCGTCACCGTCTACCGTTAGCCGTCTACCGTCTACCATTAACCGTCTACCGTCTACCGCTAGCCGTCTACCGTCCACCGTTAGCCGTCTATCGTGCACCGTCTTCATCAGCAACTTCATTCCTATTTACTTCTTTTTCTCTCTCGCCCCCTGGCAACCGTAAGCAATACCCGGGAGCCGCGTCATGGGTCAGGTAACTCCGACCTACTGACAAGCCGACCATCGGGACCCCTCCCCAAGGCACTACCCCTAGCCCCCGCCACCTCTCCCTCCTCTACCGACCTCTCCCCTCTCCCACGGCTTCTGGCACTCAGCGCCAGGCCCGAGCAGTATCGTCTCAAGAATTTGGCGGAAGTCGGCAGTCAAACGGAGGGTGGCGAGACATGGTCCCCGGCGGTAAAAATAGACGGTCAAGGGCTGAGCAGAGTTGGACGCAGCCGTCCGTCGAAATTTGGCGCTTGCTTCTTCCTGCTTCTATATTTGTCACCAGCCATGGTAGGTAGCCGGTATGATTGATAAGGTATACATTTAGGGACGGTTTTTATAACAAAATGTGAGTTACTCCAGAAGGTATACACGAGGAAATGAATGTGCATTGTGCATCAAAAATGGATTACTTGTTGACCATCGGATGCGAGTTTGTCTATACTGAACATTTGGATACGTTGGTTGTATATTTTTATATGACTTATAACAAACGGAGAGCAGTTAGGTTTTTAGGTCCCCACCTTTCACCGGTAGCATTAGACATTAGTAGAGTTACAGTTGAAATAATTCAATGATTTTTTATCAAACGTGTAAGGTGAGAAGTAAAGCTCCTTCGAGCTCCATTCTAAGTGGTTTCCAATAGTTTCTACTTGAAAAGCTGCGAGTTCCAGGTATTGCAGTGGAGTTAAACTTCAATTCTATACCTAAGTTCCAAATCAATAGAGGGCCACTGAATTGCTCCTTACAGACGGATGTTTGGATGCATCTCAAGAGGCTGACTTTCAGAGCCAGTTACATTCGAACATTGATGCTCGACGGCGTACGTTTGATAAACATGATCCGGCGGTTGATTAGAAATGGAAATTGTCACACTTAAGCCGGCCACCCTCCTCCGATTCTCCTTCAATTCCATTTGCAGTACGAGACGTTCTTGGCGAGAAGAAGCTTCCAAAGTCATCATCTTCACAGCGCCTTCAGTTATGCCAATGTGACGTTCATATCGCACTCAACTGCGGATTGGTTTTCGGTCGTATCTATCAGCGTCGAGTTGGGCTCGATCAATGAAACCGATAAACATGCATGCGGTTCCAAATAGGTTCCGGGTGAGGGAAAAAGGTCCGTATGTGGTGAGCGTCGTGTCTCCTCCGCCACTTTCGAAGGACTAAAGCGTCTGTATCCAGGCCTGAGGTATTTGACTCTACATTCAAGACAAGCAACTAATGCTATAAGCAACTCCAAGCCACTGTAATGAATCGTCCAATTGCTGTCAATGAGGAGTTTTCAATGTTATCATAACAGCACCTGTCGATTAACTTTTAATCGACTTTTAGCAATGGCAGAATGCAGCCGCGTATCGAGGGAAAGTATCGCTGCTCAGACGAAGATCTAAACCCTGCTGCTGCACTTTGTATTATAATTACTTCCATCAATAACTGACAACAAGATAACAATCAGCGATGATATATGATAAGTGGCTTAGCAAATTGAAAGCGTTTGATACGTTTTGACATCTAACTATGCAACCGATGAAATGCAATGCATTCAGCATGCTTAGATGACAAGTGAAAACGGACACACACAGATAAGTGCTTGGCGGGCTTAGGACATGCAAGCATATGTATGTAGCAACTAGCAAGCAAAGCAAGCGTGTATCACTTCGCTTTGCAATATCTTTTTCCGTCCACGCATTTTCGGTACGACTTACCGGCGAGTACCGCCGAAAGCGATGAATTGGCGAACGCCATCAAAGCTCCAAGCCGCACACGAGATTAGTTCGTCGTCACCTTCATCTAACTTTACGAACAACTGGCCAAGTAAGCTTTTCTCGTCCTCGCTTCATCCTCTCATCTGTCCAGTCCTCTGGAAGTCACCAAAGTTTCTAGAACAAATAAATGGACGAAAGTGTAGCGTGCGTGTCGCGTTAGGCCGAATGCTGCAGTCTATAGAATTCGACGAGCGTATTTTATTACTTCACCCTTGTTGTAAAAAAGAAATTAAAATGCCAATGAAACGGTGGTTGGGCAATGAACACCGTAGCTTTAAAGGTAGACTGCCACCTTTTTTCCACAAAACGGTTTTCACTAGAGCTGAGCCACCCATGTCCCAGACTGAAGTCGGTTTTCCGAAATTCGAACCCGTTTGCGAGAAATCGGAGACCAAAGTTCAGTTTGATGCCATTTTTTTAGTCCAAGAAAACCGACATCTCTACTGTTTATCGATAACTTTGAAACATGAATTTTCTTATCTTTTGGTAAATATATGTGAAAACTTTGATTGTTTCGAGATCAGAGAAGAATTTTGGAGTGTCAAAATAAAAGTTAAACTTATATATTCAGTAGTTCATTTTTTCCAAAAAAGTGTGGGAAATGGTGTTTAACATGGGCCAGACCCATTCCAAATGAGCCATTATTTTTAAATGTTTTACGAACTTAAATGCAAAATAAATTAAACATGGCCAATTTCTTATGAAATCATATATTAGTAAATCATAAAATACCTTACTTTTTCAAATAAAATGTAATAATCTTATGACCTTGAAGTCTAGTGATGTGTAAACATTGTCGCTAGACATTAAAGGGACCCTCCCACCTTAACATTAGATTTGAGTTGAGATAGCCAAAATGGGGTCCCTGGCTCACAATTACCGGTTTCGGCACTCACAACATCGAGAAATACCTTAAATCGGAAATATTGAATTTCAAAATTGCAGCATTTTGATTCAGAGGGGCTAATGCTTAGGAATACCCCTCTGAATGTGTGACGTCAGCGCAGATATCTAACGATTTTTAAATGTTTGACTAAAACGTTTTGTAGCACGCGGTGGTATATGCTATTTGCGCGCAGCATCTGCCGCAAACGCCGCACTTCTAAAATAAAGTCGCTAGAAACAGCGGAGATCCAAAAAAAGTAAACAAAAGTAAAAGTCTAATATCTTGAAAACCGGTGAATATTTTTCGGTGAAATTTGGTAGATATTCGTTTTCGCTCTTTCTGAACCGAGCGACATCACTTTCATGCCAATTCATAAACTTTTTTGAAGGTGGGAGGGTCCCTTTAACCGATTGATAAATGTATGATAATCGACAATTTTTTTCGCGATTCACGTGATGATACTTTGTCAGGTGAATTCTAAAATTTTGTTTTGTCCAGGGAATAAATCATAGGCCGATCTGAGAAAACTTTTTGAAGGTGGCAGTCTTCCTTTAACACGCGCAGTGGAAGGGGGGGGGCGGATTTCGCCCACCCCTCCTGTTTTTCGCCAATAACTCGCGCCGCGAAGATAATATCAATGTGAAATTTTGGCTACTTGTCCAAAATTGAATTGCGGATCTTCTCGTGCAAGAAATAAGAAAATCGGTTCACAACGTTTCTAGTAATAGCGGTGTAAAGTCAAACATCCTGCCGCGGCGGCGGCGCGGCGGCGCGGCGGCCGGCGCTAGCCGTTACGCGCCGCCTGAATTGTAGACTGTGCCGGGGCGGGACGGTTCCGTCTTTACATCGCGCTCCTTACCGCTGATTATATTAGATTCGCGTCAAATTCGGTGAGAAGACTGAGAAATGTACAGGCAATCATATGGTCAAAGAATTTTGAAAATCGGCCGGAAACAATTTGAGTTATGAGTGTGTAAACACAAAATTGTGATTGCCGCGTTTCCCGCGTCCGCCGATCCCGCTTCAGCCGGCAACATCTTACCCTTAGCAGGCTTCTAACTGCCATATTTATTGTTGGATTATCTAGAAATTCACCATACATACTCCCAAATGTTCGATCTTTCGTATAGTGAAAGAAAAAAGAAATTCGGCTGGTAACTTTTTGAGTTATCGGCGTGTAAACGCAAAAAAGTCGCTAATATGGCAGATTTGACCACATTTGACCTCATTTGACCTTGAAGATATTGACCTAGGGTCATGAAATTCACACACAACAGAGTTCCCCATGGCCTTCACCTACCCTCCAAATTTCGTCTTTCTAGCTCCAGTGGGAGCTGAGATCTTAGGGGGGGCGACATCCGCCCCCCCCCCCCTTCCACTGGGCGTAGTACTCGCAACCCTTCCACTGCGCGGGTTAAATGAGGTAGTAGCGTAATGAATTATTATTAGAGTGATAATTTTTTAGTGGCGTTTGTCATTTTTATTTCATAGGTAATAATAAAAAATATAGTCTACCCCAAAAGGTTTAAAATTAGCAGGGCTACACTAAAAACTTCTAAATGATATTTTTGACAATTTTGGACCTTGTCGCTCAAAAATGAAAGTAATTAATTTTGAAATATTTTCAAAGTTGTAAGACGGAACATAGTCATAGTTCTATGATTTCCGATAACATGCCTTTTACTCGATGTTATGACATATTTCTTAGGAGGCCTGTAAACGGTCAAAGGGGCTACCTTTGATTTGACCTTTGATTGCCTTTGATTTGATTTTGATGTGACCCGTGTCCTCATCGGTTGCACCTAGGTCAACAAAATTTGATCACATGGTAGTGTCCCAGTGCAGTGGGGCTATCGAACGCCGTTTGAGTTTTGAAAATCGTCTGGACACTTTTCGAGATATTAGGGGGGGGGGGGCGAGACTCCCCCCACGAGTGGCATGGTCCGGGAATACTCCTACGGGGCGCGAGTTAATTCAATTATCGAAGCTTAGCGTCGGGTATGTGTCGCTTCACAGTTTCGATAGTCTAGTCATACTTCACACTTCGCGAAGCATGGAACTGGCGAAGCCTCAGCATTTTAAGGGAAAATTCGACTATTTTCTACTCACTTCCGAGGGAAAAATGACGCCTTACTGATGCACCACATGTGCTGATCACTGAAAAGATTTTCTCTACTGGCAACAAGGAAGGAAAATGCAGTTCTTTGCACGCTCAAGGCAAACGTAAATCAACCATGGAGGTTAGAACCACCTCTTGACCACGCTCACAAACCTTCTGTCATCTTTAGACAGCCCTGTTCCTTGGTGGCGACCGAATCGATACCGGCATCTTGTTGTGCCGCGGAGTTGTGCGGCGTCAATGTATTTTCTTCTGGCCACGAAGGCACCGGTTACTTACGCCCCAGTTGGCGGAGAAGCACCGGGATCTCGTTCGACTCCCCAGCACCAACAAAGGAGGTTACGTTGTCAGCTATAGTTCATAGAAACCAGATGCCGGTTGTGGAAAGTGAGGTCCAAAATCGGGGATGGACCAAAATCAAAATCGATTTTGTACGGGGATGGACCAAAACCGGTGACAGGTATAGATAATAAAGACATACATTCTTATACAGAGAAAATGATAAAAGACTGTAATTTGTTCACGATGAAATGCAGTAAATGTTGAAAGCATGTCAAATTTGTTTTTACTATAGTAAAAACAAATTTGACATGCTTTGTATACAAAGGTATTGCCTGTTTTGCCGAAACGTGCCTAGATGTAGGATTCGTCGTCGACATGACTGTAGGTAGGTAAGTACCCTGGCACTGATCCATTCCAACAGCGAAAATCTGTTTTCGCTGGCTTCTGGCTTCTGCGCTGCGACAAAATTGCCGACAAATGCTGGCAATTTTCAACAAAAAAGGCTTCTGCGACAAAATTGCCGACAAATGCTGGCAATTTTCAACAAAATTAGGTGGTGCCCTCGCTTATAGCGTTTGCTGTAACCCAACTTTCATGCCTGAAGAGCTCAACACTTCCACCGAGGCTGGCGGTGCTCCCGCTAGACTCCGGCAGTCTATAACGCGAACTGTTTGCCTACGTTCCTCTCTGAATACCAAATGCTGCTCGATGGGGTGCCAAAAGCAAAGCTCTGTCAATAGCGCAGACCAGCGCAGAATGGGCTTAATCCTGCAGCCACTCGTGGCGAAATGCGGACGACATTTGCATTCGAAAGCTTCAGTATGCGATTGAAATGTGGTCTTGAGTTGCGATTGAGATGGAAAGTGTTTTGTTGACAGGGCTGATAGAGCTGTGTTACGCTTCGTAGCCCACGCAACCATGTATGATGAACATGACGTTTGAAGTCATAAGATAACGTACTTCATAAATTGTCATGATATACCATATACATATTTGTATTTTGTCATAGATATATTATTGTCATAGTTTGCCAAATTCATAAATTGGTTCCCTGTGTACGTTTGTGCCTCCGAACTAGCATGATTGTCAGAAACGTTTTGTGCAATAAGTAAGTGTTGATAATTATTCTTCTATTTTCCAGAGCTTACCGCGGCGCCTCGCGGCGCTCCTGTGGCTGCTCTTCTCTCTGGCTGCCGCCAGGGATCAGCCTCGGCTCTCCACGCAGGAGCTGGACGCGCTGGAGAACATGTGTGACTTACAGTCCCTCTCGGACACCACGTACTGCTACTGCGACCACCTGACGCGTGACGACGCCACCATCAGCAACTGCTGGGTGTACGGCGACACCAGGCCGAACAGCACCCTCTGGGACACGTTCCATCATCAGAAGCGTCTCCACCGTCTCACCGTCAACCTGCGCGGCGACGGCAGCCTGGACTTTGTGCCGTCGCGCATCCTCTCCTATACACCCCAGCTGTGGATGTTTGAGATCAAGAACGCGAACATTACGCGGGTGGTCAGCGAGGCGTTCACAGAGTCGGAAAGCGTCGCAGAGTTGAGACTCACCAGTAACGGGATAGTGCGCCTTGAAAAGCACGCATTCAACAGCCTGACGAACCTCACTCGTCTCAACCTCGGCAAGAACAAGATTACGGCTCTAGGGCGACATGTGTTCAAAAACTTACCTAAGCTGAAGCTGCTCTTCATGGACCGGAACGAGATCGCCAAGATTCGCAGTGGTGCGTTCGTCGGACTAGACGTGCTCCAAGTTCTAGAGCTCTACGACAACAGGCTCGACCACCTATCTCACGGAACTTTCCGTGGACTGAAAAAGCTGGAGAGACTTGACCTGCACCGTAACCTCATCGAGACGATCGAGGACCGCACCTTCAGCACATTACCGAGCCTGAGAGAGCTAGACTTGGAGGGGAACAGGATCAAATACATCAGCGAGAAGGGCTTTAGTGGCCTGAAGAATCTGATGCGTCTGAACTTGCACGACAATAAGCTGCTGAGCATTCTGCCGGGTACTTTTGTGGAGACGCCTGAACTGTTCTTCCTGGATCTGCGTCAGAATGTGTTGGACACACTGGAGGAAAAGACATTTTCGCCCATCATGGACAACCTGAAGAACATCACGATGTACCTCTTCGTCCGAGGTAAGTGCCATGCCTCGGTTGTCCACAAATGTGTAAAGTTGCAAAATTAAAAAGTCAATGGAGGCCATCAGAAGTTAAGTATCGTGACCTGACCTTCACGAGTCCTTGACACCCTGACTCACCATAGTCCATGGTACTTACAAAAACATCACTTTCACGTGTTGGTGCGTTTCTTGATGAAAAACGCTCAAGATGGTGGGCGCCGACGTGCCTCGGATCGCTTCCCGTCCTGAAAAGGATTTCAGGTTCGATAAAAAAATAGTCATCTGGTTGATACTTCAATATTTCCTAATCGTAACAGAAAACACAAACGCCAACATTCAAAGTAGAAATGATCACCTGTCTTTCCTTAACCCGCGCGGGGCTGGGGTCTCCAGCCGAACGCGCGGGGCTGGGGGGGGGGGGTAAATTTTACCCCCCTGTTATCTCCCGAACTAATGGTCCGATTTGGAAAATTTAAACGCCAATCGAAAGATCTCATCACGAACAACTAAAAACATGTACTTAATTTTAAGTTTGAGGCCAAAGTCAAGGTCAGGTTAAGGGTACAAATTGCAAGTTCCTACAGTATCGGCCTTGCACCGTAGTTGCCGAAGAATGGAGTCATGGACTGAGACTGATCGCCCAAAACGTGTTCTTAGGCTACCAAGACAATATTCGTTGCATACAATATCATTCAGAGGTCAAGGTCAAGGTCAGGTCAGGTCAGGTCAGGTCACCAAAAACAAAATATAGAAAAGGGCATGTGCGACACATGTTGTATGGGTCATTTTACTCATAGAATTCAATAGGCACACTCAATAAGTGATATGGACCACCTCTGGATGAATTTCAGGTCGAGGTCAGGTCAAGGTCAGGTAAAGTGAAGTCAAATTTTGAAGTTGGTTGTTAAGGCCTAAAAAGTTGTCTATCTGATCCAGTTTTTCACGGAGAATCGAATGGTGCTATTTTGGTTTCCGTACGAGGTCTAGAACTTCCAAAAAAGTCATTTTTCCAAAATTTTTGTGTGTCGTGACGTCATACAATTTTGAATAACTCCCACATTTTTGAACCGATTCTTCTAAAACTTGGTATATAGGTGCACATAGACCACTTCTCTGACATATATTCCGGTCTTTTCGATACACTCAAAATTTTGGATTTTATAGTTATTTTCCCAAAAAAGTCAGTTTTTTGGAAAAAATTGGGTCAAAATCCAACATTAAAAAAACGAGATAGCCATTTGATAGACAAAGTAGAATTACGTATATCCTTTTTTTGTTACGTCTTGATTCCTTTAACCCTATTAGTGGCAGGCTCCTGGCTACCCCATATTAGTGGCAGGGGGGGGGGGCTGTTTACGACCCCCCCTTGATATCTCGAGATCTAACCGGCCGATTTTCAAAATTCAAACGGCATTCGATTTGGCTCAACGAGATCTACATTTCTAAAAAAAAAAAAAAAAATTAAAAAATGTCAATAGGGGGGGTAGAGGGGGGTAAAAACGGGCAAATTGCAGATACATTTTAGACTGTTTATCACGGCCAGGTTTCTGAACCAATCTTAACGCAACTTTTGCCGATCGATAGAGAATGAACCAGGAATTCACATGGATCCTAAAAATATGCATTTTCAAAAATCATAGGCGGATACAGATCATTGAGATTGGGGTTACACAAAAAGTATAGTAAATAAGGTTTTTGTTGGTACTGTTTCTAAAAAGGGTGGCAATGGTCTTGTTATGTTACAATTTTCTTATGAGAGAACGACTAAAATTGTATTGGTCATGCATAGGTGGTGTCAGGGCACCTATGTTGGGAGGTAAAAAATAACCCCCCTTTTTGGACGCCTGGATCCGCCTATTATAGCAAAAACGTGTCAAAAGAGGATGCACAATAACTTTGTATATGTTATCACATGAAACCTTTCATTCACTGTTCGTAAAACTGGTGCAGCATCGTGATCTTCGCCCAAATGACTCACTTCACGAATAAGACCCCCCAATTCCCAGTGCTCTGGAGCCGCCCCTGGTAAAGTTATGAACTTGAAATTTTCAGGGAATGTGCCCAATTTAGTTTTAGGAAAAGTCAGAAAATTTCAGCATCGTAGCTTCAGCGGTTTCGGAGATATTCGCGAAAAACCTGAGGGGTGGATAAAAACAACCCCCCTGCCACTAATAGGGTTAAAAATGAAGATGTTAGCGGCGTTTGAACTTTTGCCGTTTTTTGAGGCGAAAATGGCGAACATGACGTCACTAAAACGTCAATTTCTCAAAAAGTTTCCGACGGATTTCGCTCAAATTTTCAGGGAACGTGTCGAATTGATGTAAGAAAAGGTACTGAACGTTTGGCGGCGCTGCGCGCCGCCGTTTCTGAGATATTGCAAAACTTCGCGAGGGGGGTAAAATTTACCCCCCCAGCCCCGCGCGGGTTAAGAAATCCTCATCTATTCGTGTTTAATTCCCAGTGGAAATTAATTTTCCTCAATCTTTTGTTTAGAAACAACGAGTACCGTTCACGCTGAATCGCTTCAACGTTTAAACTGGCACGGTTTGCTGAGAATAGACGTGAAAATCTCAAGCAGGAAATGGGGTTATTAATTTCCCTCGGTTACTTTCTATATCTGGACATGGATCACAGTTGTTTGTTGCGATCTTGTTTACGCAATTGATATTTACAGGAAATTTATTGCCGTTTTTCGTTAAATACGCCAACAGATGTGCGTGCCAAACTCTAGGATTGTCAGCACCTCCCTCATTTGTAACTCCCTCGCCTCACCTCGTCCTGTCAACCACCCTGACCTTCCTCCGCCCACTATCCTCCGCTCATCTGTCCTCAAACGCTGCATCTCTCCACCTCCCATCTATCCCCCCTCCCCCCCCCCCCGCTCACCGCTCACCGCTCAACACCATCCCCGACAGCGAGTTGGCCGTTCAGTTCTCGGCACCGGTACAGCTTCTGACGGTAGTGTCGAGAGAATACGGTCCCAGAGCGCTCTGATCACACACAGATGGCACCGACGGCCGACGGCTGGCCCCGCTCCGTCGGCGGCGACGGCCGCCGGTTCCGACGTCGAGGAGTCGGCTCCGACGCGGGGCGGCTCGAGTGGCGTCGGATATTCTAAAAGTTGAACTGGCGCGGGTTGGCTTACTGAAAACAGTGCGTGGAGTAAGAATCAAATGGGACGTATTCGTTTTGCTTGCCTCACCTTCCTTTGCGAAACGTTGCAATAACCTTATTATATATAGTTTATACAATTAAAAGCAAAAAGTAGTTGACATATAAATTTAGGTACAATTGGTCTTCCTTTTTATTTCATTGACAACGGTTTCTGAAGCAAGTCTCCTCTAACCATAATCATATTGATCCCATTATACATACCCATGGAATGTACAGGGTGTTGCAGGTAAATTGGGACTAAGTTCATGACCTTACAAAAAATTTGCTATGCGGAGGAACATCATGGAAATTTGACACAATATAATTTCAACAATTGTTTTTCATTTGATATTGAAATTTTAATCCTAACATATCGCGCGTATCGCGCAGTCATGGAGCAGCGTCGGAGGGAAACGATTGGTGAGTTAGTTCGCGCCGGACAGAGTGCGAAGGACATAATAAGTTTAACTGGGTACCCAAAGTCTACCGTGTACCGAACTATCGCGACCGTAGGAGCTGGAGGGGATGTCGCTCGACGTCCTCACACACCTCGCAGTGACCGAAAACGGACACCAACATTCCTGAGCGGCTTGAAACGCTCGATTCAGGCCAAACCGAGGACCTCGATGAACAAGCTTGCGCGTGCCCGTCACGTGAGCAAGAGCACCATCAGCAGAGCCGTGAGAGAGGACCTCGGGATGAAGTCGTTTACCAGAAAACGACGAAGCCTCCTGACCGAACCAGCAAGGGCGATGCGAAGGGAGAGGGCACCGAAGGTCCTCAATCTCCTCAAGCACCTCGGGAGTGACGTCAGGGTATTTGTCGATGAGAAAAAGTTCATCGTAGAAGAGGTCGCCAACCGCCGGAACTCGCGGGCTATCGCCTACAGCGCTGATGAAGTGGCTCCCGTGATGAAAGGCAAAAATCCGGCATCAGTGATGGTATTCGGGGTCGTCGCAAGTGATGGCCGCATAATGCCGCCCCATTTCATACCTGCTGGTGTGATGATCGACACTGACGCGTATTTGACCATCCTGAAGGAGTCTCTCATCCCCTGGATGATGAAATACTATGACCTGAGCAAAGTCATGCTGGTGCAAGACTCCGCCCCAGCACATGCTTCCCAGAGGGTGCAAGATTTCCTGAGCCAGAGGATCCCCCTTTATGTACCCAAGGACATATGGCCCTCCAACTCGCCTGACTTGAATCCATGCGACTTCTGGATGTGGGGCGTGGTAGAACAAAAGTCCAACTCGACCACTCATGCCAACGTTTCTGACCTGAAGAAGGCCATCAGGAAGGCAGTCAGCACCATTGACCAGGACGAGGCCCGGCGCGCGTGCTCCGCTTTCCGGCGCCGTCTCGAGAGGGTGCGGGACGCCGACGGCGGTCACATCGAGTGACAAGGCTGTGCGTACATGACACAATACACGTGCGAAGTTTCAACTTTCTATGTTTTCATTCACCGTATTAATAGCATGTTGAAATTAGGTTTGAAAATTCCCAATTTACCTGCAACACCCTGTATAACGCTAAAGGTTCTAAAAAATCCTGTTAAAGTATTGAGTAGGTACACAGCAGAATTTAGTCCATGCCTATCATCCGTCAAGCCGGCGCGGCATGTGGCTGCAGGGGCTGCGAATCGTATCTGCCGTCCAGCGCTGTTCGCTTTGCAACAAATCACCCTGCGGGACAGGACGGTCCTGTGGCTAGGACAGAAATGGACCAATGATGCCTCCACCCTGCCCCATATCAACTTCCGGCGGATAGAAGACACGTGCCTTAGTGAGCTGTTTCGGTCGTTAGAGGGAGGGGAGCGAAAAAGGAGAGGTCTCCAGGGGGCGTTTTCGGGTATACTGACGC